AAAAAAAAAAAAAAAAAAAAAAAAAAACCTTTATTGAACTTTATTGCACTGAGTTATCTGTGCCTTCTGTTATGGTTGTATACCTATGCTCTAGGCGAATTAAGGAGCACATTAAGTAAGCACAAAGGACCCATATTTTCTCTAAAGTGGAACAAGAAAGGCGATTATCTTCTCACCGGAAGCTGTGACAAAACTGCTATTGTTTGGGATGTGAAGGCAGAGGAATGGAAGCAGCAGTTTGAATTTCATTCAGGTTGTATACAAAATATTGAATGTTTTTCAAGGAAAAAGAATGCTTGCAAAAAGTTGTCCATAATGATGCTGTTTTTACATTTAGGTCCAACGCTTGATGTGGATTGGCGCAATAATGTATCATTTGCGACAAGTTCCACGGACAATATGATATTTGTCTGCAAAATTGGAGAGACTCGTCCTATTAAAACTTTTGCAGGACATCAGGTTCCTTTTTTCCCCGCTTCCCTATTTAAAAGGCTTGGTATTGCTGGTTGTTTATCTACTTGAATAGTGAGTTTTGAATCTGATTGACTTTGGTCTAAATTCATTATTGAGTTCAGTGTTTTTTCTAGTTGTATTTCAAGTTTTGGAAGTATTTTGGTTACCTTTTCTTGGGGGATGACTAAAGTCTCTCGTCCTAGCTAATTTTTGTTTTTCAACTTTGCAGGGTGAAGTGAACTGTGTCAAATGGGATCCCACGGGATCATTGTTGGCTTCTTGTTCTGATGATATCACAGCTAAGGTTATTTGTATTGCCCAGTTTTGTGGCTCATTTGCACCTAATTTTTTAGCTGAATCTACTGTCTTTACTTTTATTTTTGAAATGAAGAACAAAGCAAGAAAAGGATGTGTTATACATGCCACTTGTTTGTTACATTCTGCTTGTATCTTGTTGTCCTGGAATTTTTTTCCCAATTGTGTTCACCAGAAAGTTTGATGCAGATATGGAGTATGAAGCAGGACAAGTATGTTTATGATCTGAAAGAACACTCCAAGGTACTACTAGTGATCCAATATCATGTGCTTGAATTTTGTAATTTTTATGTCTTCCGATTAGAATATAATGTCAGGATCTTTTGTTCAGGAGATATACACCATAAGATGGAGCCCCACTGGACCGGGTACCAACAATCCAAACCAGCAGTTAGTGTTGGCCAGGTAATTAGCTGTGTGTGATGTTCTCTTGTTTAACCAATGATAATCTGTTCATGTGCCTGACCTAATATGGTTTTGCTTGTTTTATAGTGCATCATTTGATTCAACAGTGAAGCTGTGGGATGTAGAACAAGGGAAACTCATCAACAGTTTAAATGGACATAGGTACTATTCTTGATTGTAGCATCAAACATGCATAAGTTTTACCTATTCTTCGGGAAATTTAGATTTGTGTACTAATTCAATTTGTTGAATCACCAGGGAACCTGTATATTCTGTTGCATTCAGCCCAAATGGTGAGTACTTGGCCAGCGGATCTCTTGATAAATCAATGCACATATGGTCACTGAAGAGCGGCAAGATTGTTAAAACATACACCGGTAACGGGGGTATTTTTGAAGTTTGTTGGAACAAAGAAGGTGATAAGATCGCTGCCTGTTTTGCTAACAACACTGTTTGTGTCTTAGATTTCAGAAAGTGAGATTTTGAGGAGTTCCAATAGGATCAGCTTATATATATATATATATATATATATATGTACTTTTTTATTACTATGTGCGATGTTCTCTAACCTAGACCTTAGACTTAACTCTTCTTGTCAATTTATACTGTTCGATGTAACCTGGTCACTCCCATTGACAACAATCCCTTCTACAATGTTTTAAACCTTGTGTACAGCATTTGTAACTGCGGTTAGAAATTCTCAAACTTCTTATTGTTTTTTAATCCCTTGTAACAATTTTACCTCTAGTGATTTTATGATTTCAACTTCATTCGCAGGTTCTTCACAATCTTGTTGGTCGTGCTCGGTTGAGTTCTACTCTATTGAACTGAAAAAAAAACGAGGGATTAACTATTTAAAAAATAATAAGTACTAATTGACACAGGTTGTACTCTTTCACAAATTTGTAATTATATTTTCTGTAATTGATATCTGATAATAATTCATGAAATTATACTACACGTTTGGTCATTTCCATATTTAACTCATTGCGAAAGTATTTTTGAACTTAATTGAATAATCAGTGAACTTAAAATAGTACTTATAAATGGGCCTAATATATTGCACAGCCTCGTACGGATCTCAGACCACAGGTCCATCAAACCACAAACATTGGGCTTGTATTCCTTGTAATGGGCTTCATCTATACCGCTTATTTATAACATAGCAAATTATATCTTTTTTTTTGTTCAAAATATAATAAATGCTGAGAACATAATAATAGGATCTAAATACAGTAGTTGTGCGATGGTTATATTATTCAAATAATCAATTTTCATTCTCAAATATTAAAATTTAAATGAGTAAAGTTAAAACTTTTAAATAGTTTTTGGTTGGGTGGGGAGAGTATTAATTATAGTAATTAAATAGATTAATTGCATTAGGTCCACTGATTGATAAAGAGTTTTGCAATTATGCATTTGTTCCAATAAATCCTATTAGATAGTTTATCAATGTAGTTTTATCAAAATTGAGAGTAAAAGGAAAAATATAATCTTTGCAATCTAATGACTAAGAAATGTCTAAAAAAAAATGGATAGTTTGTATTTTTACTAATAAGTTGTATCAATGACTCAGTCATAAGAATTTCAAAACTAATTCTTTTTAGCTTTGAACAATTATTCTAAGTTGAGTATCCTAAAATCATCTGGTGTGAATAGTTTTCACTATTAATTTTAAAAATTTAAAGTCAAAGCGTCTTGAGATATTAATTTTTTTTAAAAGACTCTTTCATCTTTATTAAATCAACATTAATTAGTAGGTAAAATATTCCTATTTGTAACTTGACGTATATAAGAGGTAAGAAAAAGAAAGAAAGACCTTAGTGTTTATAACTTTTTTTTTATATCATAAGAAATGGACAGAAAATTATTCCTATGTAAAAAATAAACGAATTATATATATATATATATATATATATATATATATCTTATGACAGAATATTATTCCTATGACAAACATATTTTAAGGTTAATTACATCTATCTATCTATATATATATATATATATATATATATATTAAACTACCATGCAGTTTGGAGAATTTAACTTGATAGTTATAACCAAACCCTCTATCTTTCTTTGAATTCTCGCTTTTGGTTGTAATGGCCGTTGATTCTCAGCTTTCATCTCCTCTCGCCCCGCCGGCTTCCCAGATGGATGCCAAACTCCGTTTCATAGAGGACATCACTAAAAATACTGACTCGGTTCAGGAAAGGGTGCTGGCTGAGATTCTGACCCGGAACGCTCACACCGAGTATCTCAACCGCTTCCAGCTCAATGGAGCCACCCACCGCGACACTTTCAAGTCCAAAGTTCCGGTGGTCACTTACGAGGATCTCCAGCCCGACATCGAACGTGTCGTTAATGGTGATCGCTCCCCTATTTTTTCATCCCATCCCATTTCCGAGCTTCTTACCAGGTGAAGTTAACTTTACTTTATTTTTCTTTATTGAATCTGGTATTCATTTTGAACATCCAATTTGCAGCTCTGGGACATCGTCTGGGAAGTCAAAACTGATCCCCACAATTGAAGAAGACATGGAGCGTCGTCTCTTGATTTTCAGCCTTCAAATGCCCATCGTCAATTTGTAACAATAATATTATCATATTTGACCTTTTATTACGGTCATGAATTTTGTAAGAATATAATTCACTTTTATTATTATTTTTTTTTTGATAATTGACAAAATTTTCAGGTACGTGCCGGGGTTGGACAAAGGGAAAGGGCTCTACTTTTTATTCGTACATGCCGAAACCAAGACCCCAGGAGGGTTGGTGGCTCGTCCAGTGCTCACCAGCTGCTACAAGAGCGACCTCTACAAGACTAGACCATACGACCCTTTCAATGATTACACCAGCCCAATGGAGGCCATTCTTTGCGCTGATTCCTTCCAAAGCATGTACACGCAAATGCTATGTGGTCTCTTAATGCGCCGCCAAGTCCTCCGTGTCGGAGCTATCTTCGCCTCCACTCTCCTCCGCGTCATCCGCTTTCTCCAGCTCAACTGGAAACAACTGTCACACGACATCTCCACGGGAACTCTAAACCCTAAAATCACAGACTCTTCTCTCCGTGAATGTATAATCTCCAAATACCTAACAGGCCCAAACCCGGAGCTGGCCCAATTCGTTTCGAATGAGTGTTCCACGGAGGACTGGGAAGGGATCGTCACAAGAATTTGGCCCAACACTAAATACCTGGACGTGATTGTGAGCGGAGCCATGGGTCAGTACATTCCCATGCTGGAATTTTACAGCCGGAGTTTACCCATGGTTAGCACCGCCTACGCTTCCTCGGAGTGCTCTTTCGGGGTTAATTTGAGCCCAATGTGCAAGCCCACGGAAATAGCCTACACCATCCTACCCAACATGGCCTACTTCGAATTCCTCCCGTACGACACGTCGTTCTCTCCAATTCTCTCCCCACCTCGCCTTGTCGACCTTGCTGACGTGGATATCGGGAAAAAGTACGAGCTAGTAATCACTACCTACGCTGGACTCTACCGTTACCGAGTCGGTGACGTTCTCCAGGTCACGGGGTTCCACAACATGGCCCCACAGTTCCGATTCGTGAAGCGAAAGAACGCCATGTTGTGCATTGATGTTGACAACACGGACGAGGCTGAGCTCCAGCAGGCAGTGGAAAACGCTTCAGTTCTTTTGCGGAGGTTCGAGACCAGCGTGGTGGAATACACTAGCTACGCATATACCAAAACAATCCCCGGACATTACGTCATATATTGGGAGCTTCATGTTAAAGACGCTGCCAATTCCCCTCCGGAGGAGATTCTAAATCAGTGCTGCCTCACCATCGAAGAGAGCCTGAATTCGGTGTACATCCAAAGCCGAGTCTCCTTTAACTCAGTTGGACCGCTGGAAATCAGGGTGGTCAAAAACGGGACGTTTGAAGAGCTCATGGACTACGCGATCTCAAGGGGTGCGTCAATCAATCAGTACAAAACGCCACGGTGCGTTACTTTCGCACCCATCCTTCAGCTCCTTGACCGTAGGGTAATTTCAGTGCACTTCAGCCCGTCAAAGCCGCACTGGACACCGGAGGGACGCCGTTTAAGTGACAATAAAGAATAAATAAATAATAATAAATGAATCAACAAAAATAAGATAAATTACTTCTTCATGGTTGTCTTTGGATTTCTTTTGAGAGTAAAAAATAAAAGTTGTTGAAATTAGAGTGTTTTAAATAGTTTGTTGCTATAAAAATAAAATAATTACTTTTTCTTTCTTTTTTTTTTTTTTCTTAAAACAATTATGGGGAATCATATAAGGAATTAAATGTATTATTCCCACTAAATTAAGGGAATTACATCCGTAATTTGTTTAGTGAATCAATTTTAGCAAGTTTAAATTCCACTAATTTTAATTATAAAATTAAATATGCATGTGATAAAATTAATGCTATATTTAGTTACCATTTAAGTCATATAGGAGTTTACTTTGGTAAAATTAATGTTATCTTTAATTACCATTTAAGTCATATAGGGAGTTTACACGTAAGATTAATTCTGTCTTTAATTACCATTTAAGTCATATACACAGTTGGGTAAAATTAATGCTAGTTTATACCGTTGGGTTAGGTTAAATATTTTGGACTAACTTCAAATTTTGGATTAGATGAGTTGGTGACCCGAACAACTCAAATAAAATTCTGAACCTTGTTCTCAACGTCTATTTTTCGTATTAGGTCTAGGGTTCTGTTGTTGGGTTGTTTTTTTTTAATTATTAAAAAAACCATATTTATTCACAATACACGTAGATAACTAAAATACCATAAAGTTCAAATATCGAACATTTATAAGTCAAAACGCATCACTAACACTTGTTACAAACATTGAAATATTCTTAATTTTTTTTTTAAGTGAGGTAGGTTTATGTTGGGTTGTAACATTGTTTTTTGGTTACCCCACCAAAAAAAAAAATGTCAACCTACAACCAAGCAAAATTTTTAGTTTTCCAATAGTTTAATCTAATCCAGCTCGAAAAAAATATAACCTAACATTTATGGTTTGAGTTGAGTAATACTAAGAATTATTGAGAGTGAGTCCCACTCTGGTTAATTTAGTGGAAGATCCTAAGTTTATAAGTGAGGAATACTATCTCTATTATCATGAGACCTTTTGGAGAAGCCAAAGCAAAGCTATGAAGCTTATGCTCAAAGTGGACAATATCATACCATCGTAAAGAGTCGTGATTCCTACCAAGTAATTCCGATTGATTGAATTATCTTATCATATGAACATTCTTAAATTTAGTACATTCTTAATTTGCAAACACTTCGAGTAATTTTCCATTTTTTATTTTTTTCAAAGACTTTATAACATTGAACAAAGAAGGATCAATGCAATTGTTTGTAGCTATGATCTAATAAAAATTAAATGTGTATTTACAAGCTCATATAAATATTAGTAATACGTTTGAATCTATACAATGGGAGGTATAATGAAAACATTTATAAAAAAAGAAGAAGAAATAAACAGAAAATATTACCGCACAAATATAATGGTTTTTTTGGATCAAGCTGGGCCCAGCCCACGGCTATAATGGGCCTCATCTGACGAGAGATTTATGGATTGTTCTTTAATAAAAAGAATATTAATATTTGTCAAATATCAAGTTGGTCTCTAATATTATATATATATATTTTTTTTACAAGTTGTTTTGAAAGGAAAATAGGAAAAAGAAATGGAAATGGAAACGTAAATGGTCTGTTGCAAGGTCGTTCAGTTGTATGGACGCGTGGCGGGAGCGCGAAGGGTAGATAAGGGAGCTGTTGAGCGTTTGACTTGGTGTGGACCTAATAAAGCCGAAGCATATACGATTTAGTGCAAACCATCCCTCATTTACACGGAATATGAACGCGTTGAAAATACCGTCAACGATGCTCCTCTTGCGAGACAAGGGAATATCTTCCAGGAGGCCTAATCACATTTCTCGACATCGAAAACAAATCAAATTCAGAATCGTCTAAAAGTTTCTCAAACGATTCATAGTTTTCCTGATTCCTTACTGTAATTCTCTTCCTGCGAGACCAGGGAATTTAAAAGCATAACCAATCCATTCAGTCGCACGGGAAGGAAGAAGCTCAATTCTTGCGCTTCATGCTCTGCACTCTGCGCCAACTCCGCGATGGCGGCTGCTAGACGCGCTTAGCTTTTCTATCGTATTCCAGGTAATTTTCTCTTCTCCTTCCTCATAGTTTTGGTTTTTTTCCCATTTGATTGGTTGTTTTCTTTCATTTCTTTGGAATTGGTTTATCCTACGCCTTTCTTGTCTTATCCTCGAGTTTCGGATCATTTGTACTGTTGTTTCCTATGATGCTTCTGATTGAATCGAATATCCAAAATTGTGTTTCCTCGTAAACTTTGGTGTTGTTGTAGATGGAACCGTAGTTCTCTTGTAAAGAAGAAGAAGGTGGATCTGAGGCATGAATCGCAGTTGGAACGGATAATTAAATTGGAATACACTTCTAATGAAGTCTTAGTTAGCGATGCTTGCTTCTGAAAACTGCTCTCTCTTGCATTTCTCTAGGTTTTGCATAGAGAATCGTTAGTGTTCAAGGTCTTTAGATCAAACAGGGACTTGTTCCTGCGGCTAGGGTCTACGTACGAACAAGTTTCTGTTTGTAGTTGGCTCAACATCTCTCGAGGTTGTGAGGAATTTCATTTTTTTTTTCCTTTTATTTTGTAATTACTAATTGAGTTTTTGCACGTATTTTCTGGTCCATTTCCTACTTATTTTGCTTTATTCTGGCGAGAACCATCCGTCGATGACTATTAAATCTCATTATCCCGGCTTGGAATGCATGTAGTTGGTTATGCATCTTTATATTGAATTTCTAGTGAGAAATGATTTCAACCTATGACTCCTCACCTCGTTTTAATGGATTGCAGTTATTTTCCCAGAATAGGGAGGCACGTGCATGTGCAACTATTCACCATAATTAAATGTGTGCTGAAGGATCAATAAGAGAGTGTTGGACCAAATACAAAGTTGTTGGTGAAAATTCTAGACAAACTAAGCTCGAAGTTAAACCAGCAGGTTCTAATGGAAATTATGACTCTTGAAAAGTTGAAAGAGAATGATGAACGAATTCAAAGTACAGGAGAAGCTGAACATGTTGATGAAATGCATCTCAGAACTCACGGGCATGAACATATAATTACAGTAGAAAAATCCCGAAGCTGCAGCCCAATTCCAATAGTAAACACTAATATAATATCAAATTTCAGCAGAAAGGTACAAATTTCAAGTTTGTATGGGGGGTTGCCAGTCACAAGCTCAGAAGATCGTCCCAATTGCATGTCCAATGAAAAATCTCAAGTTCATGATGGTGTTTTCTCTGACTCCAATGCTAATCCTACTTTTGCGCAAGTTATATCTAGAGAGACAACTGGCACCGCTTCACCTGTGTTATCAATTGGACGAGCAAGTTTCACCAGGGGTACTTCTGAGAAAGTAAGATCTGAGCCATCAGTTTCTGTGACTCCATCCCTCTCACAAGTCGAACCCCAATTTCCACTCAGATTGTCTGTGGATAGAAAAAGTGGTATAATTGGACAACAGCCACAGAAACTTCCTGAAGTTGTTTGTTCTTCTGAGATTGAGCCCAGATCTGATTTAGGAAGTGCTGAAGCCAGAGTTCAGAAGTTGGTCGAGAACTTGAATAGCAATTCACTTGAAACTATTAGAGCTGCAATAGCTGAACTCCGAAGTCTTGCGAAACTTAATACTGATAACCGGATTATGATTACAGAACATGGAGCAATCAGCTTTTTGGTTAAATTGCTATATTCTACAGATGCAATAGTTCAAGAGCATGCTGTTACAACACTTCTCAACCTATCAATCTATGAAGACAACAGAATTGCCATTGCTCAGGCCGATGTAATTGAACCTCTAATTCACGTCCTTGGTACAGGAACCCCTGAAGCTAAGGAGAACGCAGCTGCCACTTTCTTTAGCCTTGCTATGGTGGAGGAAAACAGGGTAAAGATTGGGAGGTCTGAGGCCATTGGGCCTCTGGTTGAACTACTAGGGAATGGGACTCCTAGGGGAAGGAAAGATGCAACAACTGCATTATTTTATCTGTCTATGCTTCCAGAGAACAAGGTCAAGATTGTGCAAGCTGGAGCTGTACAGCATCTTGTGGAGTTGATGGATCCATCAATTGGAATGGGTGACAAGACAGTTGCTGTTCTAGCAAATCTTTCTACAATCCAGGAGGGGAAGGTTGAAATTGGTAGGGGTGGTGGGATCCCTGTGTTGGTCGAGGCTATTGAATTGGGTTCTGCTAGAGGAAAAGAGAATGCAGCAGCTGCACTACTACGGATCTGCTCATCCTCTAATAAATTTTGCATCATGGCTATCCAAGAAGGAATTATCCCACCCTTAGTGGCGTTGTCTCAATCTGGAACTACGAGGGCCAAGGATAAGGTACTCACTGTCATAGGTTCTGTTCTCCTATAATTTCAACTTTGAAAAGTATTATTAATTCAAAATTAAACTTGTCATTGCAGGCTCAGGCACTGCTTAGCCTCTTCAGAAAGCATGTGCATAGTAATGTTGAAGAAGTCCACTAATCTTGAAGTATGTGTGACCGTCCGTGACATAAACCCTGGATGTCGCTGCTGTTGAGGGGGCATATAAATTTTCATTCCACAATAGCGTTACTTCAGGTACCTGTGTAGAATATTTTCTTGATTTGCAAATAGATGATGGAAATGCAATAAAACTCATTAAAGAAAAAAAAAAAAAGAAGTAAAAAGGCCAAGCAATTTTCAACTAAGGTTTCAATTTGATTGTTTCATACTAGAAATTTTCCATCTAGATGTATTGAATAAAAGACTCACTGCCTGTAATTTTATCTTTTGGGTTAGCTCGTGAATCATGTATATCATTAACATACTTTTTAGAACTGAAGAACACAATTGTACAACCTATAGATTATATCATGTTCAAGTAATGTCGTTGATCCCAGTACTCATCTCTGCCGCTTGGATTTTTAGATTCCAACTACTGGGTTACATTAACAGATGACATGGATCAATTACTTCATTGTAATTTCCCTTTAATTACTGTGTACTCCACAATTACTGGATGGTTAAATTTATGACGTCTTGTTTTAGGAGGTAGCTGATGGTTGCTGTGCCTATAATATCAAGAACTAAGAAGATGAGCAAGAGCTGAACCCTAAGCATCAACAGACAGCAACTGATCCTCCATTATTTGATGCTATGTCAACAGTACGAACTCAGTCAGACAAGAAGGGTGCTTTATCACTAGCCAATATTTGGATGTAAATCCATTAGGAATGCTTTTCCACTAAGCTTGTAACTTTCTAAACTAGTCTTGCCTGATTTCGATCCATTTTAGAATCTAATTTAAATAATTTTTATGTAAAATTCAGAAATCAAAACAGTTCGTTTAAATTACTTTCTTTTTATTATTTATCCTTTTTTTTTTTAAATTACTTATACAAAATTTTAAACATGAAAAAAAAAATACCTGGAAAAGGAAAAAAAAGAAAAAAAAACACAACGATTTTTAAAACAAAAATTTCTGTTATTTAATTGAATAAGATAATATTATGTAATTTATTTCAAAATGATATTTTTGTGATAGACCAATAAAAAATCATGTATTTCTCTAGTCTCGTTCATTGTGTCGAAAAAAAAAAAAGACGAACAAAAAATGACTGAATGTTGCATCAAGTCGTTTTTCATGCTTGGTTACAAAAATAAACATCCTACTAAAATTTGATGAATTCGGAGCTCCATTTTTAGATTAAAATAGAGAAATGGAAGATAACGACAAAAACTCAAATCCTTAAAAAAATCATAGTGTGGTGGAGGTGGTTGCCTCCGAATTCCCTCCGAGAAATGGCGGCATCTTACCCACCGTAAATAATCAACGATCACATCCAATGGGATATCTGTAGCCGTTTTTCAAGAAAAAAGTTTAGAAGCTGGTATGAAAAGGGCATTCAGAAGAAGGGGAAGAAGAAGACTAAGATGAATTTCAGGAAGTCAGCATAAAAAGTTCTAACAACAAAACATTCTCCCTATTCTCTGGATTTCGTTCGATTTGGGTATTTCTTAGGAATTTCTTTACCTTCGTCTAGTTTTTCTTTTCTTTTCTTTTCTTTTTTGCAGTTTTTCCCTCTTTTGTTATCTGCTTTGGCTGCGTCGAAATATGAACTTCATATATCAAAATCTTATCTATGCTGATATAATCGAGTCGTCAAACGTTACGTCTGGTATGCTTTTGAAACGCGAGAAAATTGATTCTGCTTATGGACTTTTCTTTTCTTTTTTTCTTTTTTAGAATTTTAATCGTTGATGTGATGATAAGATGAGTTTGGGACTACTTGATGTTGTTTAGATATAATTACCATAGGAGGTAGTAGGTGAAGAAACATTTTAAGTAAGTTGGAGTTGGGATTAGCTGTCCTTATTTGCTATCTCTTCTGATGATTTCCGTGCTATTGCGGATAAGTACTCCATCTGTTTGATTACTCGTTTCATTTATGTGAATGATATTCTGGGTTTCAGAGATAGAAATTTTGATTCTGATTCTCTCCCTCTCTCTGTGTTAGGATCTTTCTAATTTTGAATTAGGTGTGATGGTGATATCAGGGTTGAAAGTGCGTTTGAATTGGGTCTTTGTTTTTTCTGATAAGAAAAAGAAAAAACAAAAAATATAACCAAAAGGCTGTTAGCAAAACTGATCGAGGAATGGATTATGATATTCTCAACTTCATATTTTCTTGACTTACTGATTGATGATTTATGGGATCTTTTAGAAGAAAAGTGTTTTGAAACGTTATTAAAAGTTGAAGAAGGTATGTGAACTTTGAAGCTTTATTCGAGAAAGTTGTTAATTTGCAGTAGTTTCATATGATGGTCTCTACTCTACAATTAACGAATATGAGACTGTAATTTGTAAATTACAAGTTCAAGACTGGTTTCTTCGTGCTTTCATTTGCATTCCACTTGCTTGTGAATTCTTCATAAACTGCTTGGATACTAGACCTGCCTCTGACCAAGCTATTCCTTATTCTTCACTTGTTATATCAGACAACAGGTGAGGGAAGCAAAAATCAAACCTACCAAGTGGCAGTGGGCTGATAGCTAACACTAAGGATACTTGGAAGGTAAAATCCGAGTCATCAACTGGCGCAACTTTGATTGTACTGCTGAAGGGAACTAAAAATCTTACCTCAAATGTTGATCACAAAAGCTCAAAGTTAAATATCTGAAAGATTTGTTCCTGAAATGGTTTCTTCTCCTGTACTAAAGGTTAATGCTGATCACACATGCACCAAAGCCATAGTTGAAAAGTTGGTCGAAGACTTGTTGAGCCATACACTTGAAATTCTAAGGACTACTACAGCTGAACTGCGGTTGCTTACCAAGCTTAATGCGAAAAATCGGAGGGTGATTTCGGACTGTGGGGCAATTAGCCTTTTAGTCAATTTGCTAAACTCTACTGACACACAAGTTCAAGAGAATGCTGTTACAGCACTTGTGAACTTGTCAATTGACAATAATTGCAAAATTATCCTTGCTCAGGCCAATGCAATTGAAGCTTTGATTCACGTCCTTCAAACTGGTAGCCCAGAGGCAAAGGAAAACTCAGCTGCTACTCTTGGTAGTCTTTCAGTATGTGAGGATAACCAGGTTAACATTGGGAGGTCTGGGGCAATAGGGCCTCTGGTTGACTTGTTGAGGGATGGCACACCTCGAGGAAAGAAAGATGCAGCCACTGCTCTGTTTAATTTGTCATTGCTTTCCGAAAACAAGGCTAAAATTGTGGAGGCTGGATCTATCAAGCATCTTGTGAAGTTGATGGATCCAGCTGCTGGAATGGTTGAGAAGGCAGTGGTTGTTCTGGCAAATGTTGCATCAATAGATGAAGGGAGGATTGAAATTGTACGCGAGGGTGGTATTCCTTTGTTGGTTGACGCTGTTGAGTTAGGTTCTGCCAGGGCAAAAGAGTATGCAGCTGCTGCATTATTGTGGCTTTGTGCAATCTCCAGTAGGTTCTGCATCATGGCAATCCGAGAGGGAGCTGTCCCACCATTAGTGGCTTTGTCACAATCAGGCACAGCAAGGGCCAAGGAAAAGGTACATGACTATACTGAATTGTGTTTTCCATGATTCCAAATTCACAATAGATTTTAAAAAGGAAAATTTGGCCACTTGCAGGCTCGGGCACTACTTGGCTGCTTCAGTAGAAATAAGCTCGTATGACAATGCTAAAAGTCTGGAAGTGACTAATTCTTAAACAAGGTTTGGCTGTTTCCATTGCGTTCATGGTGTACGATAGGATTGCTGTTAGGATAGAAATGGAAACATTAATGTGTATTAAGAGAATATTAGTATTTAGCTAAGAAGTTGTTAGTGGAGATTGGTTATAAATAGAATGAGTCTTGAAGGGGCAATTGTTTAGTGTTTAGGCTTCAGTGATACCTCAAGACAACAGAGGTTTTAAGTACTTCGAATTACTCAGGTTATCTTGCAGTTCTTCTATCTTTTATATTTCAGTATATTCGGGTTTTATCAATGTATTTACGTTCAGATGTTGCGTACATATGGGTTATTGCTCTGTAATTACTGGTGCAAAAAGAAAAGAAAAACGAGGGTATAATAAAGGAAGGATAGTTTTTATTGTTTCATGTTAAAAAATTGGTATTGCAATGTACATGACGAAGGATTTGTTGTTCTGAGCTTTAGGATTTCTCTGTCTCTCTCTCTCTTTTTTGTTGGTATTTGCATGTATTTTTTTTCTTCCCCTTGTCCCATCAAAAAGGTTTTAAGGGTAACTTATTTATCTAAAATTTCAAGCACCGAAATGAACACGTGCTGATGTGCTTGTGCATCTCGATTCTTGTCGAACAGATCTTTCAGTGTTGACGATTCATCTTCCTGATGAAGCATCAGACACAAAGTATTATTTTTTATTGCTTTTAGGGAGAAAAAATTCACCTAATTCTGGAAGCCCTTTCCTGTTTGATTCTATGCCACTATATATGGACTTATCAGAGAGCTTCCACTTGAATGGTCTTAGCTTTAATATGTTTCAGTCTGATTCAATGAATTTATTTGTTCATCTCACAGACACACTTACATTTAAGAAACTGCAGGGGAAAAGGAATTTTATTCAAGTGATTGAAAAGTGAAAACATGACAGATTTCAAGGGAGGAAAATTAAATGAAAAATAAAATCAAGGGCATTTAGATTTTCCCTTGGAGTTCAACTTGTCTCTGTAGCAAGGACATTCTGACTTGTTTCCATAGGTTCCAGAGGGCACACACTTACATTGTTGGCAGCAGAGTCCACAATACTTAAGACACCTGTCCTTCACCCCTGCATTCAAACATCTTGCCCCACATTTTGAATCACAAAAACCTTCCAAAGAAAAAGGAAAAACAATAAATCAGTTATTCTCTTGGATGAATGAAGGGTTATATCTTCATTGCTAATAGTACTGATATTAATGGTAAAGCATTTGTCTTACTTGGAGCATAGGTTGCAGGGGAATCAGCAATGGCATGTTGGAGGAGGAAGGAGCTCAGAACCAATGAAACAAGAACCAAACTGAGAGAACCAGACTTCATCTTTCTCCTTTTGTTTTAAGGTTAGTGTTCTACTGACTTTTCATTACTTTCTATCTGATATTTATAGACTTAGTAAGTGGAGGACTGGAATGCGGGAGAGAGAGAGAGGAAGAGGTCCGTAAAGAATTGAAAAGTGGGGCTTGAATCAGATGGATGACCCATGAGGGAAAGGCATGGAAAAATGTTTTAAGAATGGTTTACAGCTCGAACTAAAGTGTAAAGAAGCATGGTTTAGGTATGCTTGGGGGCATGAGCTTGTCTTTTTTTTTTTTGTATATGTTCCTTAGGAAGGTCACTAGCAGCTTCTTTTTGTGTCCTTGTGCAGTGTATTTTATGGGGGTAATGGGAACTATGCTGTGAACTAAGTGGTAATTCTTGGCAACTGAGAAATATATGGAGTAGTTGAAATTGTATATATAGGCTTGAGCTCTTTCTTCCCCCACTCTGGATTCCACAATTGAGAAATATAAAATGGGACGTTTTCAATTATTGTACTTTCTGTATTTCTTCATTTTAAATGAACCTTTGCGTGTGAGTACATGTAAGATTCTGTACTTCATGTTATGTTATCAATATAAAATTGAGCTGTTCTTGACGATCTATGAAGGATATAAATAATGCTAGATCACTTCAAACTTCGTGTACTTTTGTACTAATGCTATATTGTAAAGAGAAAACTACTTGATCTTGGTTTAAGAGTAAGTTTGAGATGCCACACTGACTAAGATATTAGCAAGTGAAGTTCAAATTTTCACTTATCATTAGAACTTAACTGAAACTCCTCCCTGTACCTTAATCTCTCTTCCTTCATCTATCTTAGGGGTATGTCATTTTTTAGTCAACCACTACAACAGCATTAAAGGCTGCTATAGCAACTCCTTTAGGAAGTCCAAACCGATGATCTTCCCAAGGTGATGTAGTTATTTATTTATTTTGTCTTCTGTTCTGCCTTTTTCTTTCTAGGGGAGAACCGAACCGGACTGGCAAACTAAACTGAACCGATTAAAGTTCTTAAAGTTTTGGTTCGGTTTGGTTCAAATTTTAAAGATTTCAATCTGAATTGAGTTGGTTCTACTTCAACTAACTTAGTCAAAAGCTTAGAGTAGTTAAATCTACGAAAACGTAAACATGTTCAACATAGCAAGTATTTCTAAAACATATTTAAGGGATAGAACTCTGTTCACTTGAAAATTGGAATCGTTCCCAGTAAATTTGATAGGATGATCCTAAAGATAATCGAAGGACTATATTATAGCATTAAATGACTGAAGAAGCTCCCAACTTTGCTCGGACAGGTTATTTAGAATTTCAAAGTAAGGATTATATTGAAGTTGAAGGTTGGATTGGATTCTTTCCTTAGTATGGAAGTTGAAATGCTATCTTATTACATCATATCTTTTGTCTTGTCTTTGTTGCTTTGATTTGCTCATACGAATATCTTCTTCTTAGCCATGGGAAAAGCTCGCAAAAGCATGGCCCAAAGACCACACTCCCATTTTTTTTTCTCTCTCGAAGAATGGAGAATGGGGCTGTGACCAATACACATATTATATTCTCGACCAAAAGGTTTAGAGGTTTGAATTTTTGTTTATTCTCTCAATATTGTTGAAATCGTTAACATTATATGATCTTATATTTCATTATAGCTTTATGATTCAAGTAGACCTCCCGAATTTATAGTTCATAAGCGTCTGTCCCTTGAATATAAATAATCTAAAGCACATTAACATAACAAGTTCTCCAACTAGTTTACTTTTGAAATTTGGGTTTGAAGCCATATTCTTTTTTTATTAATATATATTTTTTATTCAAATGATAGAAAAGCAAAAATTCAATAGCCTCGTTCAGTGAACCAGTACGATTTTTTTCCAGCTCTCAAGACATGTCGGGCGAAATATGACCCACAGTGTATGAAAGCTTTATCAAACAAAACAAGAACCCATTAGACGAAAGGACAGAATAAAGGAAAAAGAATATATCAAATATGTTTATAAAATCATAATCGAGTTTATGGCTAACCCTTCTATTAAATTAAATTCATAATTGTTTTAAAATAATTAAATGATAATTATAACAGCAAATCAATTTAAAAATAAAAATAAACAAAATTAGCCCCCACGCATGTTCAAAATTATTCATAAATTATAATGGTATTTATGGTAATTCCCAACCACAAAATTTATTTCAGATGCGCCACCAAACATCGTATCCTTCAGATCTCATGGACTATATATGTCAAATACAGAACCAAAAATAAAAAAATAAAAAATAAATAAATAAATAAAGCAGTCTATCACTTCACTCATCCTGTCGGTGGCCTACTGCTTTATAATGATTAAAGTTTATAATTACTTGATTTCCACATAATTTAATTTGTTATAATAAATTAACAGTAAATGATGGGAAGAAGAAATGAAAGAGAATTAATTACAGAACACAAAAGGATCCATCCAATCAAAATGTAATAATAAAAGATTTCCCCACTCCAAATCCCATCTCCATCCAAAATGTTCATCATCATCATCAAATCAAACGCGCCCCAGAGCTCATCAATTTCGTAAATCAAATTTCATCAATCAATTCAATGAAGAATGAATATAAAGCACCTCTTCCGATAGAGTACGGTGGCGGAAATTTAAACAAAAAAAGGATTAAATATAATAAATGAAGCACGATCACAAACTCTCTCTAGAACATGAAGCTGAAGACGGCGGCGGAAAATCCAAGAGCCAGGCTTCCGACCACCTTCTGCATGTTCCTCCTCAACGCTTCAGCTCCACTCTGCAACAAAAAAACCGATCCAGGGCGTTATAAATATTAAACTATTATTTAATCATATTAATTTAAAGATTATAGAAACTGCATGTTCAAAAGCTGCAGACAATTTATTTTTTAAACGTGTTTGATCTGATAAAGAACTGGACGGACATTTAATGCTCTCGAGTGCTGTGTGATCTGACATTCTGACATTTTGATTCCTTTTCTTGCCGTGTTTTTTTAATCTTGGGTTAATCTTGTACTCAACTAAGGTGATTGTCTCAACTCAAGGCCTCTTACGCGCTAGATCCACGCGTGTCGGTGGCGCGTTGCGTTAGGCTTAGTCACTCTGTTATCGAGTAGAGCAAATGCGGCCATTCACACAGCCCTAAGAGCGCTAAGATGTGCCATTTTTATCCAAATTATAGAGAGATCTTGGCTGTGGATATTGATAATGGCGGATTTTTTTTAGGGATGTTGCAGATCTTGAGAAGATTAACAATGCGGGTAAATATTTAGGCGGTAAATGCAGAGATTTGGGTGAAAATTTAATTACCTTGTCGTCCAGTGAAGGGGCGGGGGTAGGACCTTCCTCACTTCCTCCTGGGGCTTCAGAGGGTGGAGCAGGTGGACCAAGCAACGCCGGAGAAGGAGCTGGTGCTTTGTGCTTCTTCGATTTCTTCTTACTAGGCGCCGGCGACGGGACCTCAGCGGGAGGTGATGCGACCGGAGCAGGAGGAGCAGTTTCGGGAGCGGGAGGAGATTCGATCGGAGTTGGTACGGGAGGAGAGCTCTCCGGAACTGGAACCGGTGGAGAACTGGCCGGAACTGGAACCGGCGGAGAGCTCGCTGGAACGGTAGCTGGCGGGGAGCTAGCCGGAACGGAAGCAGCTGGTGGAGAGCTAGCCGGAACGGAAGCAGTTGGAGGAGTACTGGCCGGCGGAGAGGCCACTGGAGCGACTGCTGGTGGCGTAGATACCGGTGCTGGAGTGACCGGCTTTTGGGGAGCGGCAGCGGGAGATGAATTTGTCGGTGGCACAACAGGAGATGCTGCTGGAGGTGGATTCTTCGCTGCTACAGGCGCGGGAGTCGCCGGTGTTGTAGTCGGAGCTGCAGCAGGAGACTGACCACCGACACCGGCAACGACAGCGCAGATCAGAACGAGTGCGATCACAGATTGTCTCCCCATGTCTACCGAGTGAGCGTGTGTAGATGATGAAGTGGATGCATCCAAGGGCCGAGGTGTAATAGTGTATATATAGACCAGTAAATAACACCTCAAAGCACTTTTAAAAAAAATTAAAAAATAAATTTACAAAAAGAAAAAAAGAAAAGACAACAGAACCTGTAAGACAAATGGGGCCCACTATTAATGGGCCTGTACTAGCCGTTGGGTGCGAAAAGAAGGGCCCACGTAGAGAATGAGTAAATACGGGAGATTTAAGCACGGTCGAAAGCCCATTAGTGTTTCTTTTCCTCTCTTTTTTAGGTATAAACAAATGAGAATGAGTAAATAAAATGATAAAAAATTAAATTAAAATTTAAGTTATGAAATTCGGTGCCAGCCACGTCAGCTAAATGAGGATTAGTTACGCGGTTTAGGATCCAATAATTTAGTTTTAAGGAGAGAGGGACTGGATACAGCTGGATGATTGAGAGTGGGGCCCTTGCCAATTTCGACAATCCAATAACAGTTGGCCACGTGAACTGTCGCGTCAATTATTGCGGGGAAATTTACCAGCAGTCGCCTGAATTTGTTTTCTGCCACTCCCACCGCCCGACTTTTTCCAAAAAAGAAAAAGGAAGACTATATTTCTATTCATGTTTTCTTTTTCTTTTTTCTTTTTAATAATAAAAATACCATATTTATATTCTTCCTTATATATATATATATATATATATATATATGCGTGTATTTCTAAAATTACCCTATTCCACGGCATACGACAAAGTCTATATTATAATCTATTAATAACATTATGTTATTAATAAATTCTTTTTTATTTTTTTTAATCGATGCAGTTTTGGGCCTTAACTGGACTGGATCAACTGATCTTCATACAGAACTTCGGCCCATAAAAATGAGCCCAATGGACATGACAAGTTATTATTTTGGCCCATTTCTTTGTCTTCCTCTCTCCATAACTCCAGACTCTGTTGACGTTCTTTTGTTAGTCAAGACGAGGGCAGGTTTTTTTATTATTCTATAATTCATCATAAATTACGTTAATTATTAAAATGCAAGTCTCTAATATAAATATTAAAAGAGTAATTTAAAATATAAGAAAATTTTTATTTGTTTTGATTTGTTCCTGCATCATTACTTTGAACACCTCTATTCCTTGTGACGGTATTATTATCGTTGTGTTTTAGATCCTTGATTTTATTTGAATGTTGATTTTCATAATAATCTGAGTCCATTGACAATTTTATTTTTTAGAGATTTTCGATTACTTGGTTTACTTTGGACATATTATAGCTAAATCATGGTCTTACATTTACTTCGGTGCCTAGACCACCGACCAAAATGAACGAACAAGTGGACACAAAGATTGATCTCTTAACTTTATAATTTTAAAATAAGTACATGAACCATGAACGGTTAGCTTAAAAGTACACATTTTTATTTCGTTCCTCTAAGCTTTTTTCTAAATAAAAAATCTACGGAATAAGAACTTAATAATAATCAGGGTAACATGGTAATGCCTATGGTTAGTGTGTTAAAAGTGCATGCAGCCGCATTTTCTTGAGACCCAACCCCATCATACCTGTCATTATATATATTAATTTATTAAGGAATTGCTTTACTTTTTTATTTTTTTAATCTTAATTTAACTTTTTCATCTTTTACTTCTCCAACCAACACATGGATTTTGCTCCATTTTCTTGAAGGGAGATTTAGATTCACCTCTTTTAAAGTTATATCAAACTCACTTTTAAATTTTACTTGCATTAGTATGAGATAAAATTCATTATTACTAACTCTCTTCTCTCACGAGCTTTGTCTCGTTCTTATTTATTTATTTCCTACCTTTTATATGGGCTATAGTCCATAAAATAAAATATAAATACGAAAATTGAAATATAATAATTCTTATTCTCTTTTGTCTACATGCATGGTTGGTACATTGAATTCAAGGTTAAGAGTTATTTGTCCTTTTTTTTTAATTTAGAAGTTGCGCCTAACATGTGAAGAATGAATCTATTAGAATTAGATGACCCAATCCAAAATTTATATGAACTAACCGAAAAAGTTCATATTTATATATTCTTTAATGGAATATATATATATTAATCTTATAAGTCCTATTTTCAATAATAAAGTTAAATTTTCAAGAATTATTAAAAAAAAAAAAGGTTAGTGTAAAATAAGGATAGAACATTGTCGGATGATAGCCCATTGGTCAAGTTTAACCTTTGGAAATCATACATATGTTGTACATGCAAAGTATAGGCGTGTATTACTTATTAATTCATATTTATCTCTTTACATTTTCATTTTTTATTTTTAGTATTAAAATGAGATATGATACAAAGATTTAGCAATTCTTAGTGCAAAATATTTATTTAGTTCATAAACATCTATAATTAAATTAAAGTTTATTTTTTTAATTTTGATGCAATAAGGTGGACCACTCCCACTCTCTCTTTTTTCTCTTTAAATTTCAGACGCAAATCTTGAGCTTCTCCAAACCCCTTCGTGTCCCTTAATCCTCTCTAATGGCGGAAAGGCCTAAAAAAGATCATCCCATTAGATCGCCTGACATAGCCCTCCCTTTCTGCTTCTTCTGCATGATGAACGAACCCGACCCAGTTCTCAGAACACTCAAAATTACTGAATACTTCAAAGAAATGCCTACGAGAGATGATCGTGAGTCCGTTCTTGCATTGAGTGGGCTCTGGAGCATCGCCATGACTCGACCCAATAACCCGGAATTTCCTGAGATTGGGATTTTCGAGTGCATGGCAAAGCTTATTTGCAGAGGAATTAGTGATAGGGAATGGTTGCTTAGAGATCAGAACGTTTATATTCCTTACTATGCTGCTCATATTATTGGGTCTTATGTCATGAACAGAGCTGAATTTGCTGAAATTGCTGTTGAATCTGGTGTAATTCCGCCATTAATGGAGCTTTTGAAAGGAAAATTCAGCTGGGTTGAGCAGAGAGTGGCAGTTCGAGCTCTTGGACATTTGGCAAGCCATGAAAAGACATTCGAATCAGTAGCTGAAATTGGAGGTGAGGTCGTGGCATTGGCAATGGAAATTTCTTCAATATTTGTCGAAAATGTTTACAGACAATTCTTCCGTCTAAAACAGAGGTTGAAATATCAACGAAATTTGCTCACCAGAGGCCTCGGAGGGGTAGAAATTGAGAACAGAAAAGCAGAGGAATGGGCCATTCAAACGCAGTGTTGGTCTCTTTATCTTCTTAATTGCTTCGCTCGTAAAGAGAGACATTTGAATTTACTCTGTAAAAGGGATTTCTTGAAGAATTTGTGTCAAATTTGGGGTGGATTAATGAACCCAGAAGCCCCTGCTGGAATTGGGCTTCTGAAAACTCTGTGTAAAACAGAGCCCGGAAGAAAAATGGTGGCGGATTTAGAACAAGTCTTGAAATCACTGTGTGTTCTTGCAAGATCCTCAGATGAACGGCAGGTTATGGCAATTGAATGCCTTTTAAGTTTGATCAAAGACCCAGAAACCCGACACAGAGTACTCGAAACCTCTGTTTTGTCTCTTGTCGATTTGGTAGAGCTGGAAAACGGCAGTGAATTAAAGAAACCAAAATTGGGAGACACTTTAACCCAAGCATTGTTGCAAGATTATCACAAAATCAAATATGGAAATCAGAAGCTGCACAGTGAGAGAGCCAAGAGAGCTTTAGAGGAAATCTGGGAGTTAAAAGTTGAGAAGAAGAGGAGAGAGAAATTGATGTCCGAGAAAGAGGTGAAAAAGAGGAAACTCTTGGTGGGTATTCTAAAAAAACAGGGGAATCACAAATTTAGAAACGGAGAGATTGAAAAAGCTTCAATGAAATACACAGAAGCATTGAATATAAGTATACCCAAAATGAGAAAACAGAGAATAGTGCTTTATAGCAACAGAGCTCAATGTTTTCTTCTACTGAGAAACCCAGAATCCGCCATTAGTGACACAACTCGAGCTCTGTGTTTATCAAAACAGGGGAGTCCTCACAGTCGAAGCCTGTGGAGAAGATCGCAGGCTTATGATATGATGGGATTGGCTAAAGAGAGCTTGATGGATTGCTTGCTATTTGCTTGCTGCAGAATTAAGTTGAAGCACAAGATTCCGTGTTATGCTGCTCGGATGATCAGCAAGCAGGCGAATGCCACGTCAGTATTTGGTTCTGTGAAGGTTAGAACATTCGAAGAGACGAAGAGCTTGCTCGAGAATCGCCAATGGCGGAATGTGACGATTGAAGGATGTTGATGAGGAAGATGAAGCAGAAGAAGAATGCCTGTAGGATTGAGTTTGAATTCTTGTTTCCAATCCCATGCAATATGTGGCTGTAGGATTGAGTTTAAAAAGAAAACTCATTATTAAATATATTTTTGTCTCTCAAAAAATAAATAAATAAAAATAATAAATGGTAAATTAGTTTTTTTTTAAATTATTTTTTAATTATTTTTAATATGAGCCACAAATGTATTGTATGCTGTGATTTGTTATTATTTTATATATTGATTTATGCCAAAATAACTACCAAATAGATTAATAATTATTATGGATAAAACTTTTATTATAAAAATACCATAATTAAAAAATGAAGATTCTAAACAAAAAAATCTTTCGTTTTTAGTTAACACTATTTAGAGTGAATTTAAATAGCTTATGAGTCGAAAATATATGTATAGAATTATGCTTATTTTAACGAGCAACAGTGAATTTCCGTGACTTAGCTATAAAATGGATTAGTTAGTTAAAGTTACAATAAACTTATTTTATATGTTTATTTATATGCAAATAAGAGAGACGAAACCTACAAAAGTCTTTGGACAACAGGATGAGATTTCAAATCCTACCTAACACATCCCTTTCATTTTCACATCAAAATACAAACCATTTTGGTAGGCCATATCCAACAAAACCAATATAAAATTACCATAAATAATCTAATAAAGTGAATTCCAGCATTGTCAATACTTTATAATTAACAAAATGTGGCCTCCAGGGATTATAGACTTTTAAGGCTACGCCACTTATAGAAAATATAATGTTATTACTTCACTTTGTGGTTGCATAATCTTGTCCATTATGTTTCAACATAAACCTGCAAAAATTTGCTACAAATACCTTACCCCTCTTCAAATCTCATTCTCAAAACCCACATTGTCTATGCATTTTCGTACCAATTTATTGCATCAGGAAAAGATTAAAGCATCAACTTCGTAGAGTTAAAAGTTTCCCTTGAATTCAAAAGTTAGTGTTCATGGTGCTGGTGGTGTGGAGTGAAAGCATCACCATATCGTTGAGACGAGTCTTGCAATTCTTACCTAACCATCCATGCCCTAACACTTTTGGTGGGATGCATTTGTATTCACTAACTTTATAATCAATCGCTTACCTACCGCTATTCTAGTCAATCTTTCAGCATGGGAAAAGGGCTTTTCATTATCTGTTTCTTCCGATGTTTGCGTGTTATCCTTTTGAGTTTTTCTTTTTGGATTTTCTCTTAAGATTTTTAAAATGTATCTATTAGAAAAAAGTTTCCACACCCTTACAGAGTATTTCGTTCCCCTCTCCAACCGACGTGGGATCTCACAATCCACCCTCCTTCGAGGCCCAGCAACTTCATTGACACTCGTTCCTCTCTAATCGACATAGGATCTCACATTGCCTAAATTTTCTATTATGGAATTATCCTTTTTCTCGACTATACCTATAAAGTTCTACCAAGCAATAGCAAGCAGACACCAGAATCACGAAGATTGAAACAACATGCTTATACATGAATACAGCTGGATATTTTATTATCAACAGAAAATTTAGTTAATATAATGAATTTTACATAGAAAAATGAAGGGAAACTCAGAGAGAGAGAGAGAGTTCAGAATTTTATACTGTTGTTGGGGTTAACGACCAAATTTGTGTATGTGCTTTCAGCTTTGGCAACAGATGCCTGTGTGCTTGCCAGCCATGTGTCCACTTCATTGATGCAGAAGGTACGGTTGATTAAATTCCAAGAGAAACGAGTCTAAATTACAAAATCACATCGGCTTTCCTGCATCATTGTCAAATCTGGTCAGAAATCTTACAAATTAGAGTACTGCTCAGAATAGATGTATTTAGAAACAGGATGAGATGTTTCAAACAAACATATCTAGAACATGCTTCAGATACCTTAACCTTTCAGAAGGCGGAAATAAACAAACATATCCACATGCTACTGCAGATTTATTCTAACTCACCTTAATTAAATCTAGAGGAGCTCAATCATCATAAGAACTCAAAGCAGAAACAACTGATCCCGTTGTTTTAAAAGTTGATGCGACATCTGGAAATTCTTTCCACGATGTTGTCATCTTGAGAGATGGATACAACCAACTCTTCACAGAATCAACAAAACAATTTGGATCGAAATTCAACAAGGCTTCCCAATCCACTTGCAGTCCTCGTGGGATGTTCCCACAGAACTCCATGTTAGCTGCAAGAAGCAATCCAAGCAAAACAACAAATCCAACAGCCGCAGAGCCCCTTGAGAGTGGCATAAAATTGTACCTAAAATGCATTTGAGTTTAATAAAGAACCCTGCTGAATTAGCAATAGAATTAGTACCACAACTGTAGACATACTGTACCAGTAATAGCTCATCCTTAGGATTGCATCCCTCACACTTTCTAGAGTGCTAAAATCCATAGAGCCATAGTTTTCTCCGCAATAAGCATTGCATATTGTCTGAAAAAATGAAGTCGTAAGAATATTAGACTTTAACTCATTACTGAAAACAAAAAAAAGAACATTGGCTTTCAACATGTAGTGTTTGTAGCTAGATAGAAATCAGAGGCCCAGATGCTAATAAATTTAATTCCAATGATCGAAGGAGAAGGCTAAGAAGAATAAGGGGAGCATGTAATGGAGCATCTGACTCAAAATGTGGCTTGTCTGTTGGTTGCTCTCGATGACCATACAAAACCATGGCTACGATAATCAGTAAAGTAATTTGTTGATCTATAAACCCGTCCCTAACGAACGATCAGCTCATAAAGACTTGGTTGAAGGGGAAATGATTTTCCCGAAGTCGTGAAATTGGTTGAATCCAATTGCTCTAAAGAAGCTTTGAGGCTTTTGAGGGTTGCTCTTAAGAAGCTCAAAGAAAATTCACTCATTTTGCAATCTACAATTACCTAGAACTATACCCATTTTGCAATAATTTTCCCATCCTAAGAAATTCATAATTTCTCTGATCGGCTCTGATCATCAGGTACATCAACGAAAGCAGGCACATACAAGAGGTCTATAAGTAACATACTTCCCATGCTGTCGTCATCTCTGCATCAAATTCTTCCCATCTGGAAGCTGTACATGGAGTTCTGATTGCAAAATCAAATCCACGTTCTCCCCTGAAATAATTATATTGGAGAGGGAAAAGGTTAGAAGAAGATAAACATAAATCATAAAAATTACAAAATAAAGCAGCAAAGACGTGGTTAATTTACGTCTTTGCTAGTGTAATCCTCGTCCCTTCAAGTTGCTTCCTGAAACAAGAATGAAACAACAGAAAATAGGCATTAGAAGACATTTAAAGAGCTCAAGGCAATTGTTGCAGATTAGATTACCCCTCGAAAGCAGTACTGTTGCACCACGTAGCCAACCAAAAATCCTCACCAACCACTTTATAAAGATCAGAGCACGACTTTGCTTGCATAATCTGCAATAAATGGACATTACTCACGTTCGTAATTTGACGAGGCAGAAACGTTCTTCCTTTCGGTGCATCCATTTTAAAGAATTTTGTATTAATGAACTTGTGTATATTTTTGTATACCAGCCTGAACAGAAAACTGATTCTAAACTCATGACAGCAGAAATTTACATACGAACATATTATATCATACAAATGAGATATAAGAAAATATTCGCTGGATTCTGCTAAAATTTCAGTTAAGAAAAATTGTGATATAATCAGAGAATCCGTTGAGCAATTTGATAATCTTTCACACTTAAATTAACACAAAAAAAAACTCACATCTTGTAATTTTCCATCCCCACTCAGGTCCACCATCATGTCTGACTTGTTGTACACAAAGGATTTCTGCTTAATGACCGTTTTTGCGGCTTCTAGTGTCCTGTGGGGTCAACAATGATTAGAGCAAGCCCATCAATATTTGCATGAAGAAACCATTATTTTATTTTTACCTCTCAAAATTTGGGAAGTACCGAACCACTTTTGCTTGCCCAAGAATCATAGATGTATGAGATCCAAATCCAGAATTGAACTCTTCACTAAAATAACCAAACACCCAAAATTTAGACTGTGCTATAACAATGTCAGGTCCCACAATCACACAACAAAACAGGATTTTTTTTTCTTGTCACTAAAATAAAATATTGTTCATTGAGCGCAAAGAAACGACGAACAAGGTCTAATAGGACTTCATTTGATGAGAAATACCTTAGTTTATTAATCCACAAAACAGGATCACAGGGTTCGGAAATTTGTCTCCACTTGACAGCTAAAGAGTAAATATCTTGCCATGAAATAAAATTATGACCAGGTAATCTATCTTCCAGATGGCTACTTGAAGATGATGTTTCTGAAAAGCCACTAGTACTACAACCAGCACCACCTCTATTCTGGCTGGATATACTGGGCCTTTCTCTTCTACGAGCTCTTTTACCATACTTGGTTGTGTTTTTATTGGAACATTTCCATTCTGCTTGCAGCGAACGCCAAGTTCTTGAAATCCTTTGAGCAACATCAATGGCAGCTAATCCTGCCATGCGATGCTGGTAAACAGAAAGATCAGATTCAGTACTTCTTTAGAACAAGAGACTCTTTTAATTATTCCAGAGAAAATACATGCACAAAGAAGGGATGATGTTGGGAGCGGAAATTGTGGAGAATGCACGATACTGATCATAATAACGAAAAGATATATGCACATGAACAACTAGGTGAATACAAGTGAAACTAATTTTGAAATTTAGTATTTTATTTCTGAAATGAGTGAGATTACCTTCTAAATTTTAATGTAATATGTTATCCCACTTCAAGATTAAAATTTTTCCGCAGCTACTTATTCTATGGTTAGTCAAATCTTACTAAATACTAATCAGTGAAAGTGTGAAACATGAAGATAACACAAAACAAAATAAAGATCTGCTATATTCGATATGCAGAGCTTTCAAGAAACACTAAACAATGGTAAATTATGCTAGAGTAATTTAGCAATCAGCAAAAGATAAATTTAGTGGAATAGGAAGGAGTATAAGACATGCTGTAGGAGATGTTCACATAATTTTCAAATTATTAGTCACACTGAATCACCTGACGCCGATTTGACAAGAACCCGGGACAATCATACTGGATTTTTCTCCCAATATTATCAGCAGCCAATAGAAGTGATATCTTCTGCTTTGTCATCCCGTGGTCTTGCTTTCTAACTCTACCCTTCTTTAAAGGCTCGCGTATTGGAGGTTGTCTGAAAACCTTTTCGCAAACATCCTTCGGGTGCAATCGTTTGAACCAATACTCCTAATATTAAAAAATATTACACAATCACCACATGAGTTAAGAAATTGTTTCAAATCTGGAAAGCACAGATGCGTAGAATCCAAAATCAGTATTAACAAGCATATATTTTAATGTCAAATAGAGAAGACTTTTTCTTTATTAGTTTAAAATTAACTTCATACAAATATTTAATAAATATATAGGGATAATTAAAAATTTTGGTGTCTGGACCTGGTAATAAATGTATTTTTCCAACCTATCCCAAATTAAAGTAGAAACAAACAAACGATAATAATCGATCATGACCTCAATCCAATTTTAAACAACAATTTCCTCCCTACAGATGGAAATTTAAAAGTAATTAGAAGGATAAAAAGTACGAATCATTCGAGAGAAAGATAAAAAGGAGCTGTTTTGACTAGTGGTTTCAGGTAAATTATAAAACAAACGAACGAGAGCAAAATATCATCTTGACCCTTCCCTAAGTTTATAGTTTTTGACGGAAAAGTCCATGAATATAATTACAGTAATTGCATCGGAATCAAATAACTCCTTTTGAGATTTTTTTTTTCTTTTTTAATTGAAGCTTCAATGCACTGAAGTGGACAATGAGACAATGCTCGTAGGCATCACAAGAAGATAAAGAGAAATAATACGGTACAATAAAATAACCAAATATATTTCCAAAGGAACTGCACCTTGAAGAGTGGATCAATATCCCCATCAATAGAAAACCAACAAAAATCACTATTGCTTTTAGATGCTGTGTATAGAGCAATTTCCTTCTGCAATGAGTGAAAACAAACAAAAATTATACACAATCAATGAGAAGTTTTGTTTCTTGTAAAATAAAAAGCTAGAAAAGTAAAAACCTTAATATATTCAATATAAACCTTCAGATATCGACACATTTTAACGCAAATTAAATGATCAGTCAATTGCAAAATATTGATATACAAGTTTTCACTGAAAGTATAAAAACAGTTATGAGCAGATCATGCAGTCTAAACTTAAAACTGCAAATCTGCACCATAAATAAAATAAACAGAGCATTTAATCTGTAAGTAATCAAAGACCCGAGCTGGCTATACTTCGTGAAGCAAGAGACAAAGGTTCTACGGTAATGTTCGCATTAATGTCCATCTCAACCCCGTTCTACTCATATCCTAAGTGAGAATAAAGGAACCCTTGCTTATAAAATTGAAATTGCATATCATGGGTGCCTAATTCTTTATAACCTTTTCAAACCAATAACTGTCTCACCCTTTTCCTATTCACTAGGAAGAAAACAAGAGATCACCACCTATTTCTACAATGTGTTCATACAAATTCTGGGAAGAGTTGACATCCCTAGAGTCATCCAGAAATTAACCTGATAGAATGCTAGGCATTGAAGCATAAATTTGTCCATGGAATCTAGATCCAAATCCAAGGTAGCATCATAGTCCTTGACCTGCCATAAATAGCACACCGAGTAAGACAAAATGGCAAGATCGTTGAAAATACTTTTAAAAGATGAAATGGTCAACGAAATTCATTATTGTACCGCTAACCCATATTCTCCAATAGCATGGTAGCAGGAAGCTCGCAAATACAGACACTCAATGTTGGAATTCTCAATGTTCAATCCAATAGATAATTCCTTGATAGCCTTTCTGCATGTGTGAACTAGGAAAATTAGAGTAACATAACGACTGGACATTCTTACAACATGTCATTAGTTTTCAATTTCCAGAAATTTCAAGTTATCACATAACAAACTCTACAAATTTGTAATGTATTAGTAAGAACCCAAGTAATCAAATAAAATAGTTTCAAACTGCATATTATTATCAATCTTGTATATAACAACGTTTAATTTCATGAAGCTTTAACCCTAAGCATAGCATTCCTATAGAAAATCAAATCGGAAATGAACTCAAATTAAAAATCACAATCCCTTATTTGCTGCATCTTCACGAACTCCAATAAAAATCATACATGTGTCAAGTTGTAATTTTCTTTTTGGAACATTGTTGCTCTTAATCTTCCCTTCAATCTTTTCTCCTTCCAATCAGTTTTCTCGGGGAAAACCTTTTAGCAGAGGACCAACAGCCTCTTTATTTGTTAGTCAGAAGCAGCAATGGGGTGGTGTATCATAAGAATCTAGGGACATTCAAGGTATAGTGAGAGGGATTTTGTCTGAGGATTAGATTGGCAGTTTATAAGTATTAGGGTGAGGTATTGTTTGAAAACGCCTTTACAATAGGGAAGATGAGCGTTTTTCAACTTTAAGGGGTCATAAGAGGCATGCCTTTTTCCCACAAAATTAGGGATATTACTATGTTCGACTTGCTTGAGGTGTTTGATGAATTTTATGAAAGCGTATATATAGTGGATAAGGCTTTGAACGAAACTTACATTTATACTAGTTTGAGTTCGACACCCTTTCTAGATCCATGCCTAGGTCTGACCAAAAGCATCTTCCCACCTCATAAAAGGTCCTTTTTTTCAAAATGGTGGTAGGCTTGCCCTAAATTCATCTGTTTTAAGTGAGATTCCTCTATGTTTTTTTTTTCTTCCTTATTTATTTATGCAAGTTTACGGAAATTTACAAGAAAATTTACACGGGAAGGTCGGGTCCATGTCCAACAGAAGGTTTGCCAGTGTCAGAAGAATTAACACTAAGGAACCCATCCATGTTTTCCTTCTCCGTGTTTGGGTCTTAGAGGTGTGTTTCCTACAAGCAAACCTTAGAGGACCTTGATCATCATTTTTGAGGTGTTCATCTGCAAGGAAATGGAGGTTTGCTTGGCTTTTAGTGTGCATTGGTTTCAAGAAATTCTTGTCACGCCATGCTGGGAAAAGTTTTTCTTCATCCTACTTTCCAAAAGAAAGGAAACGTTTTTTTTTTGTGGCAAGTGGTCTCCTGACAGTTTCATGAAATACCTTGTCCGAAAGGAATTGGAGGATTAAGGTCTTGGGAATTTGACCTCTCTCTGAATCTTAAGGTTTTTTATGATATTAGTTGCAGCCTTTTATGTGTGGGTGTGCGTGTTTTTCTTTATCCCTGATTTTTGAAACCCTTTCTTGTATTTTTTTATTTTTTTATTTTGTTACTTTTTTTCTTTGCTTTAGTGTTTGCTTGATCTTTTTGTACTCTTTGATTGTCCTTGATGAAAGAGGTTTTTCATTCTCTCTCAAAACAACAAATGTTCTCATCCAAAAAGAACTCTCTCAAACTGAAAAAAGAAAATGAAGGGAAAAAAAACTATATCACATCAATTCAAAAAATTTATAAAAAGACACGAGCAGAACATATACCTGTGTTCCCCTATTCCATGATACAGTAGCCCGCACAAATGATATGCTTTGACAAACCTATCCATTAGACATTATAATTTTTATATGGTTCCTCCTTCACAAAACAATACTCTGCAAAGGGTACTTGTGAAAATAAACAAGCTAAATATTGATGAACGGTAAAAAAGCATGGTTAGAATGGAACAAGGAACAAAACTAACGTGCTGTCCATCTGAAGAACTTGATGAAGACATTCCAAAGCCTTTGTTGTGTTTGCCAAATCTTGATAGAACTATATAATTAAGTATCACAATTAACATACTTTCTAACTTCCTAATAGATTGACAAAAAGAAGGGCAGGGAAGCAGAGAACATGCAAATAATAAAAAATAATCCAAAGTGCAATCTGAAAGGAAACTGTTCGCTCTTACAATTTCAAATGGCATTACAAACATTGATCAGAGTGCTTATAGCGTGCATAAAACAAATATATATGACGTGCTCAGGTGACTAAAACATGTCCCCGTAGTAGCTAGATTGCATGGTTTTTTCTCTATTTTTAACTAGAAGGAATATAAATTAGACTAGGAAGGCCTTCGAATTCAGAGACCACAAGGAAACAGCTTTAGTATTTACAAGCTACCTTTTAGGAAGACAACAGTGATAAACAAAAAGAATATGTATTATAATTGGTGAACCGTGTAAAAGATTTTTTGGATTTATAGAGGGCTTATTGATAGCTAGCTCATGCGTTCGAACATGAAAAGAATACTTGGAATTACAACATCTGAATAGAAGGATATATTGCTGAGAAGGTAAAGAACTTCATGGACTTTGCAACATGAAATAATAGATAACTTGACCTTTCGATTTTGTTGTAAAAAATAAACAAAAATACCAACCAAATATCATTAATGTGGGCATAGAACCCACGTCAGAGAAGGGGAGTGAAAGCACACAAAAGCCAACCAAGGGAAGCGCGTAGGAAGGAAAAAGGTAGAAACTACATTTTATAGTTTCTGAAATTTTACTCTATTTTTAGAAACGTTATTAAAAAATTAGAAAGAAGACACAATATGAATTATCAAACAAGTCTATTTCTTAGAAAATTTGATACATAAACAAAAAATAAGAAATGAAAACGTTATCAAACAGATCCGTAGTTAATTATCAGTACCTGAATTAGATGGCCCCACGCCTCAAGGAAATTTCTATCTAATTGAATTGATTTCAAGTGTGCCTCCTCAGCCCCTTTGTAATCACCAATTGAAGACAATGCCAAGCCCTGGAAACCAAATTTACTGCTTAGAGACCGTAAGGATTTTTCCCAGAAGAAAGTACGTAAATATATGCCAGACTCCGATATCATTAAAACCGGGCAAGTAAGAAACTCACCAAGTATGTATATGCAGATGTATTACACCCATCCACCTTCAGACATTCAGACAAGTCCTCCACAGCAGCGTAGAAGTCCTTGAACTTGAAATTAACGATTCCTGCATTCAAGTGATAAAAACTCAGATGAACAAGGAACAGACTTTTACGAACTGAAAAAACGAAGTGATGTAAAGAGCAAGTTAGATAAATTACCCCTTTCATGTAAAATATCTGCAGAATTTGGCTCAAGCTCCAGTGCCTTAGTTAAATCTTCAATTGCCTAAATCAAGAAGGAATTATAAACAAATTAATGTGAATCAAACATATAGCAACACGCAAGAGATTGTAAGCAATTTAAGGAGATGTTGCTTGGGAGCACAATCTAATTGAAGCTAAGCTCCAAATGCTCAATCATAAAAATTTATAATAAATAATAGGGAAAAAGAATATATTTTTACCATTGAATTTAGCAAGTGTACTAACAATTTTCACCCAAAACATTCTACTTTGTCAAATTGAACTCTAGATTTAGATAAGTGTTGCAATTATTACCTACAATTAATTTCTCACTGTATTCACCTACTAAAAATTTAGCAAAAGCAGAGTAAAATCGCCCTAAACTATTTCAACAAAAATCAAGTTTGGCACAAAAATAAGTCCAATCAATGAACAAGATTGACCATTGATTCTCCCAAAGCCCATATGTTCAACAAAAATCTAACTCCAGTATCGTTTTTCCAAGTGCTACCAATAGAACTAGACATGATTATAATTCATAGAATGCACATGAAAATATCTTTTCAGTAATTTATCAAACAAAAGTAAGATATCAAATATAAACTTTCATACTTATTTAAGTTTAGAGTAAAAACGGCAAAAATAAAAAAAAAAACTTACCGAAGCTCAAGGTTCCATCCGATAAAATTGAAAGTTTAAGGTAAATCTTAATACATTTGGCCTATTTCAGGTTAATTTTCTTCACTATAAAGTATACTGTACATTCCCAAAATCTGCATTTAACTAAAATATGGTTGCTTCAATAAAAAGGTTTATTTTTAAAATATTGAAACAAAATGATCAAAGGTTGGCACAAGTATATGGCCGTGAATTTTCCACTTAAAAATTATAGGACAGTTAGGGAAGAACGAGGGATAAATTCATTTGATAAAGCATCCTGAATTGGATTTTTGTGGTTACATGTTGGATCCCTTTTTAAAGTTTCTAAACTATTAGAGATCTTATAGGGGGAAAAATCATAGAAAAGAGTTTAAGATGAGCAAATTTTTCATGCAGAGGTGTGATGGGGATCAAAATATTGTTGCCAAGAACGATGTGCTTTTATCCAATGGTTGTGGCGTTCTCTCTTGCAACTTCGTTCACACTTGCTTTTATCCAAGAATTGTTGACCAAGACATACAATCAAACGTTTATATTGAACTTACCTCAGCAGATGCTCCTAATGCGGCCCGAGCCTGCCCTCTTCGTTTCCATGCCTCACCAGCAAATGGGTTTGATTCTAAAGCCTGATATTTAATTAGATTAACAAAAAAATTGTCAATTAATTATATTTCTCTTTCATATCTTATCATCCACGTACCTTTGTAAAATCACCGATAGCAGCGTCAAGCTCTCTTTGGAATGCATAAGCTGTTCCTCTTCCAATTAATGCCTCAGGATAACTGGGATCTTCCTTCAATATCTGTGGAAAACTAAAATGGCCCTTAACATTCTCCAGAAGTTGACAGTTAGGCTTCTCCTACCCACCCATTTGCTATCAACTAGACATAACAAATCATGAAAGGAGAAGAAAGGACCATGCACTAAGAAACAGATATTACCTGGTCAAAGATAGAAATAGCGATAGCATACTTCCCTTCATTGACCTGCCAAAGATTAGAATGTCGGTCTAGAGAATATTTAATTTCTAAAACACGTAACATGAATTAGAAGTATATAGTATGTGTACCTCAGCTATGCCTCTTGATAGTCGGAAATCTACACGTATTGACTTTGTCTTTGAAACTTTAGCAACAGGGAATTTCTTAGTTCTCTTGGCTTCATCACTTAAATTGCCTTGTATATCTGCAATTTTAATTGGCTTACTTAAAATGTCATTGGAATCACTTGATTTGCTATGGAAAGCCGTTACTTTGGACTTACTAGAAAATTCAGATATATCACTTCTTAAATCATGCAATTTGGAAGCATCATCATAGTCACTACGCCCATTGCTTTCACAGTTAATGTTACTGTTCTGACCAATTTCTTCGCTTCCGCCTTCAAATACAGAAAGATTGTCACTTGATCTGCTGCAAACTTCAGACGCATCACTTGGATTCATGTAGAAATCAGGATGTTCCATTAATTTATCTTCATTATTATTTGTTTCACTCAATTTTCTGTTAGCAGGTGTAACTTCTGATTCAAGAACAACGGTTGAAAATCCCAACTCCACTTCTCCATTTTCCACATTGTTTTTGTCTTGTTTTTCTTTTGTCAAAAGATCTTCCAGTTCTAGCAATTGCTTCAGGTCTGCAGATTGACATAGAGCATACTGGTAGCCACTCTCCCAAACGGAAAGAGCGTCCCCTTTCTTTCCCAAGGAAAAGTATGCACGACCTAAACAACAAGAATCTCAAACTCAGCTCACAAATTTGTCAACAAATCTACAAATACTTTTATTTCAAAAAGTTAACAAACAAAAAATCCTAAGTGAACTCCCCGTGTGAGTTATTCAAAAATCATAGCTCCTTTTCAAGATGCGGAAAAAAGAATAATTTCCAATAATATTTAAGTACTCTTTATCCAGTATCGTTCCAGAGCAGCAAAGCTTTTTAGTGGAATTTAGTAAAGCCAAAGGTATGCTACACCAACAAATCTTTTGCAACTCTAACACATTAATTATAAGATCCCTCAAAGTTGGGAACACAACATCGCCCTATGAAATGAACAAAACTAAGGAACCCCCCACCCCAAGCCCCCCGGCACTACGCTGCTATACAATTTTTGTCACCGGATGCTGCAGTGTACATCCGGAAGACCCATGGTTCATGCCTCGTCTAGTTGTTAATCTCTTCAACTTCAACTCTTGTTCTCGTTCACTCGTTAGGAATAAGAAATAAAGGAAAAGAACTACTAAAATCCAAATCCAAGGACCTCAAATCGACATTCCAGTGAGTTTCGGGAGCGTAAGAATGAAGGATACGGCTACAATTTTTATCTTATCAATAATTGAATTATCAGAATCAGCTCAAAATCAAAAGATAAACGAGCTAATGCAATAAGTACCTTTGAGCACATAAGCTTGAAGAAGCGAGGGATCCAGCTGAAGCGCTCTGTCGCAGTCCTTAATTACATGCTTGTGCAGCTCCAATTGGCTGTAGCAGAATGCTCTATTGCTGCAAAACCGTTATCTCGATAATTAGGCTTGAATCAACTCACCAGTCCTATAAAAAATTAACAAAAATCGAAAGACAGCAAGTCAAGTGGGCAAGAATAGAACAAGACCATATGTCTTGAACGGTGCAGGACTTGGTTATGAGCGAGTCGAGGACTCTGATTGCCTTAGACCAGTCCTTTGAGCGACAGAACTTAGCGAGTTCGACTCTCTCGGAGATGGCCGGAGCCATTAATTCAGCTCGACGGAGGAAACTTCGTCGAGATCAGCCGATGGCGAATTCTATTCTTGTATATGTAGTTCTTTTGAATCAACCAGTCCCCCTCCCCCTCTCTTAGCTCTTCAAGGAGAAGTGTGGAATGGGATGATCGGAGCGTCCATAGTCGACCTGTATCGAGCTGGAAACGGGAAGCGCGAAGAAACTGAGACTCTCGGAAACGGCGTGGAGGATATATCCATTGAAGAACGGTGTTCACTTGCCGCTAATGTACGTGCGTTTCACACGTGTGGTCAAATGCCTTGCCGTGATACTATTGGTTGAGTGCGGTGACGTGTACTGGAAAAACGACAACATGCCCTACGGTTTTGTTTTTCTTAAAAAAAAAAAATTAAAAGAAGAAAGGGTTTGTATTTTGATTAGTTTTTTTGGCCAACAATACACGACACAACTTAATCTTTTTAAAAGTCTCCAATTTTTTCTTTAATAATTTAACATTTTTTAATGAAGTTCTGTCATAATTTCTTTTCCATAACTTTGTTAGATAATTAAATTTATTATTCTAATCTAATTCCGAGATATTAAAAAAACAACTAATTTGAACATAAATTATTACTTCGAGAGTTCATGCTTAAAGTATACAATATCATACTATTGTAAAGGTTCATAATTGTTGGGAGTGACTAATTTAAGTAATGATCATGGGTCCGTGATTTCTAACACTGTTCACTCCCTTTTCGCCATGATTGAAGTCATCCCCTCCATTTTTCGACCGAATCTTTTCGTTAAGATCATTTAGGTTTTTTAGAAGCTTATTTTAAAGCTTCAACTATATACCAATTCAAGTTTTAAATTTATATTAACAAAAATATTCAATGTTTTTTTTTACATTTGAGTTTCAATAAGAAATATTTTCTAATATGGTCATGTCATTTCAAAAGGCTCGAGTATTATTGGTTAATTCACCATACTAGTTCTAAGTAATCCAAAACATTGATTTTATTTTTATTTTTTAAGAAAATATTTCAAAAATAATTTAAAATTATCATAATTTTTTTTTTGAAGTAAATGTAGACTTTTTAAATTTAAACTATAATCTAACTGATTTGGGATTTCAATTGAAAATATCTGATCTAAAATTTAAAAAACTTAATTATATCATATTAAATCTAATTTACTCATACTAAATTTCCAGCAACATCAATTTAATAACATAATGATTATAAAAATAATTTTTCATTCGGGCGTTGCACTTTAAGAATTTAAAGACTTATAAGGGCATAAAAGATATTTATATTTTTAAAATGGGAATTTTTCCAAAGGGAAAACATTTAGAGGGAGAGAGACTAACGACGAAGAACGCGGGAGGGTGACCGAGAGAGAGATCGACGAACGCAGAGTGGAAGGGTAAAGAGATCGAGACTGAAGACGGGCAATTGCAAGCTATGAACCCTAATTTGAGAGTTTGAGTGCGCCGTCGAGGGGGGAGAGCGTGCAAGTCTCTTTGGCTGAGCTGATTAATTGAGTGCCCTAAAACACCAATTCTTATCGTTTTTCCACTTGACGATAATTTCAGGCTCCGGCGAAAGAGAGACGCCGATGGGCTTTATCAGAAGTAGCTTCTCCTTTATAGTGGGAACGGTATTTGGCATTTACGTGGCTCAAAATTACAGTGTTCCCAACATCAGGAAGCTCGCCAATACTGGGATCCTGATGGCCAAACACATCGAAGAGAACTACAGGAAGCCAAAGAAGCGGGAGGACGATGATTGAATGGAAGATTTACGAGCCAGGTTCCCCTTTTGACATAACTATTGAACAAGTGTTTTTTACTTCTGGGTTTGTAGGCAAAATTTTGTGGTTTTTGTTGTTTTCTGTTCAGGAAAATAACAAAAAAATGAGTTTCAATCACGTAATCGGAGTACGGAATTTATTCTTACATGAATGCATCATTGTTGTTTTTGGGTGGTATAGTGGCAATTAAATTGGGAATAAGTAATGCAACATTTTTTTGTTAAAACACTCAAGTATGCGTTTGATTCTTTGTAAATATTTATCGATCGTTTGAACGTGAAACCTACCGATGTTTATTTTATTAACAGTTTTATGCGTTTTTCCAAGATTATTCTTCAATTCTGCATTGCAGAAGACCTTAGGGGATATGGGACTGGGAATGGTATCTGTTCATCTCTTCATAGTTTCAATTATCCCTGGAAAGACATCATTAAGTGATTTATCCTCATTTTCATTCACTGATTCAATTAGTACTTCAAAATTGAGTTGCTTATCCAAATCATGACGTTTTAGTTCTTATCTAGTGAAATTTAAAGATGCTAGCGTAAATTCTATGCAAAGGAATGATGTATCCACTCTATCCACCTGAGAAAATTTTGGATTATTTTGACATCTGGGCATGGTATGCTCGACTTATTGAGCTTGTCAACTAGATTATTTCCATCTTAGTTGTATTTTGCTTTATGGTGTATGTTGTATTGGAAAAAGGTGTAGAAAAATTGGGTAGAACGACTAGGTATTATTCAAACGCATGACAGAAAAAAAAGAAAAAATAAATAACTCTCCGCATTGACAACTACAAAAGATTTAGAATAGTTACAGAATACTTGTACTGAAGTAAACTCTAATTGAAGGCTACAAAAATGAACTCAACTAAAAAAAAAAAAAAAACAGAGCTTCAGATAGTTTTCTTTTTTAGAAAAATAAATATTACTGGGTTTAGGCTATCGGGTAGTTCTTTAAGCCTTCCCTCCATCTTAAGCAGTTTGGTTTATTGGTTCTGACTAGGCTGGCATTTTTATATTTGGCGTATTCCGGTTTTAACTTCTTTCTAATTGCTATTGTGAAAACAATAGCTTTAAAACGTGAAGGGCGGCCGATATTTTTAAACGAGTGAGGCATTAGTGGTTCTCAATGGATCTCATTAACCATTGATAAAATATTTTCCCTATTCATGACATCCAAGAAAGCAATTTCCCCTTGCGAGGTGTTCTTAAAGAAGTTTCTGGAAGGTTTGATTTGCATTAAGCTATTGTTTAGTCCACCGAAATATGCACGGTGTTTCAGATTTCCATTTTGTGAAGAGGTGGTCTAGGTGAGTTGAACTCTGATAGGAACTGTAACACTGTGATTATTTGGCCGACAATAGCCTTTTAAGGCCACCTCACCTTGTTCGAGGGAAGGTTCGAGCTTCCCTTCCAAGTTTAATTTTAAAAAAGGTTCTAGAACGTGTCTGTTAGGGAGAACTTCCTCTCGTTCTATAAAATGTGGCTGGCATTCAATTATGTTTTTGGAAGAATCTTTGTGAGACTCATATGAAACGTAAGCTACTTGCCCATCTTTCTTGTTTTCTATGTCCCATTGTTTTGGCTTTATCTCCCATGTTATTGTAACGAAATGAAGAATATATTTGGTGACCATTTTTTATAAACTGAAGATGGGAGGATCTCCTTTGTTAGGTTGTAACATTTATGAAGGCAAAAAATTAAGATCTAGAATTGGATCCTTCAAAAAGCTAAATTTAGGTGATAGAAGCCTTTGCATTGTGATGGTTCACACCGAAGGACAGATTCTTCTGTCTGGATTAGCGAAGGTGTGCTGTCCCATACTTGCTTTCAATACAGCAGCCACTTCCATGATGCTAGAAACAAACAAACAGTCTTCAAAATCCAAAGGAGTATACTAATCTTCATAACTAAAATGGCTGGAAGGGTAAATCAGAATCTACCAGAAAAGATGCCTAATATAGAACAGAGGAGTGCTGTCCAATGCTTTGTGTATACTTTCTTCTAAATGGATTTTGCTTTGTGTCATTATGTGGAGTCCTTCCATAGACCCTTTCATTGCCAGATTGTCTGGGGGCTAAATATAAGTAAAGGCTCGGTTTACGGGAACCTCATTTGAGTAGGTTCAGGCCGAGTATTGTGTTGCTGCCATCACAACTGAAGTTTTGGTTATTACACCTTAATATGTGTGCTTCGGGATACTTTGCCTGATCAAATGGTGGCTAGCTAGGTTGCTATCAGCCACTTCATATAAACAGATATTAGTTTGAAATATGAGCACTCAGTTACTAAAGATTGCTTTAAATGGTATCGATCCGCTATATACTTGTTTTCATCAAGATTCATATTTACTTCATCCCACGTAGGTAAATCACAACCTTGATATCAATCTTTAGCCAAGTGGAGGTTCTTCAAAAGACTCCAGAAAGTTTGAAACTTGACCCACGGGCTGAATCTTATGCCCATTACTATGCTATGGTTTTCTATATGCTGTTGGTTTCCCTGGCTTCATTTTGACTATAACCACCGTCCATCCCCAACACCTCTATCTCATGATCATGTAATGGTGAAAATTCCAACCGATCGATAGTAGTAATATCTTGTGGAGTTAGCTATCCTCCATTCTCAGTGCCTTAAAAGAATTGAAACAGTGACAATTTTTTCACTAAATTTATTATTTTGCCAACTTGTAGGAGACAATTAACCAAACGCAGATGTTCTACTAAAACATGAAGAAATTAATTACGGCGGCACGTTGATCTCAGGGCACTCCTTGGCGGTTGATCACCGACGAAACGGCGTCGCCGGAGAGAGTGGGAGCGTCGGTGGATCCACCGCCACCGCGGCGGCTGGGTTTGGACTCGAGATGGCCTTGGGCTCCGTAGGCTTGGTTTTTGTAATCTTCCAAGTCCTTGTAATTCACGTACGGACTGGTCTCCAACGGAATGCCCTCCAATCTCTCCTCTTCACTTCCGCTCTTCCTTTCCGGTTGTTGCCGCTTCGGCTGATCGGCCTCGCGCTTATCCATTATCTTTGAATCCCAATGAGCTTATCCTTCCTCTTGGTTTCCATTTTTAACGTGGGATAATACGATTTCGGAAGGTCTTATTTTTTGACACGTTTATACTCCACCTGTACTTTCTGGTACCTTCCCGTTGACACGTGTCTTGCACCGACCGAGTGGACTACTTCCCATTTAGGTATACTCTGTAAATTTAGTGTTCGACTAAAGTTAATTTGTTCCATATCATGTTTCTCAAAGCTAATTTATTTTCCCCAGAAGGATAAAATGATTTATTTACCCCCATTTTTTTAAATAAATAAGCGTAAAATTATTTATTGATCCCTTTTCTTTGAGAAAGAGAGGCAGTAATTTTACGGACAGAGGTAATTGTTGATAGATTTCGGAGTTAAACAATCTAAGTATGCCTTTTAGAGATAGTGTCAGAATCTAAATATCGTCTTAATTACTGTCATATAAAAACATAATAACTGAAAGATCATATCATATTTAAGCTCATAATATTCCTAGAAAATAATAATTCGGACGTATTATTATGACATTTGAAATAACTTAAATTATTTTCGTTTGTAATATTAATTTATAGATTTTGGAGATTGAAATTGATGATCCGCCTGGTAAAAGTCCTAACACATCGGAAAACAATATATTATTTTAGGCTTGCCAAAAAAGGAAAAACAAGAGGTTTACGTCATCTTGAACCCACATAACTAAAAAATAACCATCAACGTTATTAATTAATCCATTAAATGTTTGAATGTGTATGATCTGGGGGTGTCTTCCCGCCATGCACATAACTTTCGACGACCGAAAAGACCTTTTTAACCTTTGTTTTGTTGATTAGTGTCAAAGCGCGAAGCCCGTCCAACTTGTCCATAGGCATCCGTAATCGGAAAATAGGAGGAATAAGGAAGAGATCGGTGATTCCATTCCAAGGAAAAGAAGATGAAATGCAATAACGGGAAAAGTAATTGGAGCTTCAGATCGAAGCTAGGCTTGCCAGTATTTATCTTCATTTTATGCCTTTTTTGTTTCCTCGCTGGATTCTTCGGTTCTTCTCTTCTCTCTCAGGTTGATCCGCGTGCTTCAAGTTTGTAATCGCTATTAGATTTCGCCTCTTTAATGCTTATATTTAATTTTTTTTATGATATATCATTGTTTTCCGACGAATAAGCAGGATGTAGATGACGATAGGCCGGGACCGAGGTTGCTTCAATCGGTCAGCGATCATAGCGAGTTCGATTTGATGACCTCGGGAGAAACCGGCGACGATTCCATTTCTTCGATTCCATTTCAGGTGCTCTCCGTTCGGTTTTATTTCTTATTTTCCCACTGGTATGTTAGTTTCACCGCATTGTTACTCTGAATGAGTTGTTCTTGTTAGGTTTATCATGTATTTATGTCAAAGATAACTTGATCGGCGGATGAACCTTGCAACTGGTTATTCGACATTCAGTAGTCGTTATTTATTTGTTTCAATTATTGCATGTCCAATTAAGGTTTTCCTAAATGTAGCTCTTGAGCTGGCGACCTCGCGCACTTCATTTTCCGAAGTTTGCAACCGCTGAGCAATGCCAAAGCATAGTTAATATGGCGAGACCGGCGCTTAAGCCATCTGCCTTGGCTCTACGTAAGGGAGAAACGGATGAGAGTACGAAAGGAGCCCGAACAAGGTATCTTCTGCTGCATGTATTGGTTCACATGACTTCATTAATTATCTTTTAGTTGCATGGAGTTAACAAAAATGCTCGATGACGTGATTCAACGAGTTAATGCGGTTAGACTATGGGGATTTCAAATGAGGATGGTTGTTTCCTGAAAGTATATGTGGAATTAGTATGAGTTATACTCGCATTCTCTAGGATAGACATTCTGGTTTTATTTTTAATTTTCTCATCCACTGTTCTTTGAACTGCCTCAACATCGGGTTCTTCCTCTATTCCCAATTATAACTTTCTGTTTAAAGATGTGATTTATTATGGCTGCAAAGTTATGTATTGAGATTTTTAAAAATTTCAGCATAATTGTACCTTCTTTCTTTTTTGTTTCTCCTTTTCAGTTCGACTCTTTGGTCATTCTCCCCTATAATTGTTGATTGGAGTTCCTGTTGACTCCTAGGCGTTGGTTTAGGGGATTTGCATGTACTTTTGTTATTCTATGTTATCAATGGAATTGATTCAATTCTAAAACAAATATTCATCCTTCCATTATTTTTTTAATCGCATTTTGCAATTGTTTCAAGTACAAGTTAATCCGGCAGAACCTCTGAGTTAGCCAAGGTTATGGGTGAAAATGGACAAGTTCTACTATTTACTGTTAGGAATTGAAGGTTCCGTTGTCAGGAATACATGATCATCCAAGTTCCTGGTTGGACTTTGGTTACAGGAATATAGAATATTGTAAAGGTGCCTGATTACATTTTCAATTTGACCCTCTCTCTGTGTTCCAAGCAGTTCTGGTGTTTTCATTAGCGCTTCCGAAGATGAAAGTGGGACTTTGGATGCCATTGAGGAAAAAATTGCAAGGGCAACTATGCTTCCAAGGTCGCATGGAGAGGTATTATGATAGTAGAATTCTATTGGTATATTGTCCGTAAGAGTTAGCTTTGAGAGGTATTTTGCTCTAGAATCCAGAATATATTTTGCATGGAAATTTGATGGGAATTGTTGTTGATCGAACTCTTTCAATCCCTTGGAGAAAATGAAACCATTGGCAAGTTACTGTGCATTCACCTCTATTGTCATTTCTTAACTTGGTCGCTATGAATTTACCTCTAATGTTATTTTCTAACTTGCTTATTATTTCCATCTATATTTGTAGTAGTCGAGCCTTCTTAAAACTTATTTTTTATTTTAAGAAGGCTCAACTAATACTTGACCTTTCTTAAATTTCCATCTAATTTAATGCTTGATGTGGGATCTTGGCCATCCATTTCTCATAGTCATTGATGGGCTTTAGGTAAATCTACTATGTGTCCGTTTTAGTGAGATTTTGTTGGTTATTCTAAGCTGATATTAAAAATTTCTTGAACTTTTTATTTCTTGTCTGAGAATGAAAGCCTGAAACTCAAAGAGGATCCTCTTCACATTTTTTTTGATAAAAGACCAAGGTCCATAATAATAACAGGTAACCGGAAACCTGATAATTGAGCATTGTATGCTATCCATTTGATGCACCCGAAGCTCTATATCTATGTTCCTTTCTTTCTTTTGTTTGTAGATTTTTGTTGTATAATAATGCTCCATTATATAATATAGTACAGTCATTTTCATTTGGTTTTGTATGTTGATGATGCTTTGTTGCGTCTGTAAAAGGTATCAAACTTCTAGTTTCCCAGATATTTTTAAATGGATTATGGATTGTGTGTTTCAGGCATTTAATGTCTTGCGTTATGAGATTGGGCAGAAGTATAATGCTCATTATGATGCTTTCAATCCTTCTGAATACGGGCCACAGAGGAGCCAAAGGGTACGAAGTAGATATTATCAGCTTTTCCTTTGTTCATTGCACGTACAAATTCACAGATGTATACGAAGTAGTTAGATGCAAGCATAAGCTACTGCATGTCATTTCCAGTGGTTGTTCTCAAATGCAATTTAATAACAATTCTGATGGTAACAGTGCTAAAAGTTGATTGTGTGGAATGCATGTTGCTAAATTCAGGTAGCTTCCTTCTTGTTGTACTTGACTGATGTTGAAGAAGGTGGAGAAACCATGTTTCCATTTCAGGTAAGACCATAATACCACATGAACAATGCGGCCTTTTTCTTGACATTTTCTTACATCCAGTCATTTTCTGAATACGATTCCAATAAGAACATTTATTCTGTTTGGTTGGCAGAACGGCTTAAATATGGATGGAACCTATAAGTACCAAAGATGTATTGGTTTGAAAGTGAAGCCACGCCAAGGTGATGGACTTCTGTTTTATTCTGTTTTCCCAAATGGTACTATCGATCCGGTTAGTGTTCCTACTCCTATCCTCTGTTGCTTGGACATGGTGGTTTTTAATTGGAATGCTCTATGGATTATTAATGTGTAATGTTGAAAAATGAGCTAACGAGGAGGAGCGTGCATGCTTTGTTCAAGCATGGAACTTCTTGATTTGCAAGTAGGAGCCTAGTTTTGCCATGAAAAAGAGTGAACATGTTTGCATCAAAGAACAGTAACCTATTTCAAAACTACGAACTGATATCGTACGGTACTCACTGTATTGACTTAACCAATTCTCAAGAAATTACAATTTTGCCACTGCTAATATCCCAATAACATTTCAAATGATTTACTATTAGTAATAGTTTACGTTTTGGTGCTGCCCCTGGTGACACATTCAGGAGATGTTGCAACTCATCTAATGTAGGAAATACAGACATATTAATTTTTTTAAAAATAAGCAATAAATGTTTTTATTTTCTCATTAAAACTACTGAGTTTTTGAATTTGTAATGGCTAAGAAATGAATAATTGTTTTTTTTCTCATTAAACTACAAATATTTGAATTTCTGTTGACTAAGAAATGAATAAATACATAAAAACCTTTTGAAACTATAAACTCCATCATGCATATCGTTGCATTTGAAAGCATGAAGGTGTTTATAATGTGAGAACAATTCTTTTCAAAAACGTTTTCTGTGGGCGATTTATTGTTTCGTGTTCTTTCCTTGTTTGTGCTTTGAGTTATTTCTTGCTTTGTAATTCAGAAGCATTATGTACTTTTTCAGGGATGATGATTAGTATTACATTAAATGGTGCCACTTTGTTTTAGCGTTTTCCTGTTCCTAAAAACGATGCTTGTCTGAATATCTCATTTATTGGATGCTTTTGTAGACATCACTTCATGGAAGCTGTCCTGTGATCAAAGGGCAGAAATGGGTGGCTACGAAATGGATCAGAGATCAGATAGAGGACTATTGAGCGTTATTATTTACTACACACGATGCGTAGTTCGAAAATCTCGACCTCATCGTTTACTCTATGATAAAATGAGTTCTAACATTATTAACATTTGATCCCTCCCTCCCCTGTCCCCGACCAAATAGCATAAAAGGTTTGTCTTCGATCTTTGTGTTTCTTTCCTTCTATTGTTTTAACTTGTTTCAATTTAGTTTGTTTTATTTAGTTCCTCTAGGCCTTAAAAGAAGAAACTTAGTATTTGTCATGCAAATTTGCCATCAAACTTACTATAATATTTGCTAACAAGGAGAATTGAATTGAAAATGTTTAAACTAGACTTAATTGAAAAGTACTCAAATGTTGTGAACTAAGATAAATATTTAGCATAAAATAAAACCAAGGAAATGCTCGACCTAGTAAATCAAAAAATGGATTAAATAATTATTGATTGAAATCTCATTTACTTCCTGTTTTTTCTTCTCTTTGTATGGATAAAGAGATAAGTTCCAGTCACATTTACCAAAACTTTATCAATATAAAAGCATTTGTTATTGACTAGCCAAGCAAAGTTAAGTACAAGGGTCCAAAGAAAAAGGCACAAAACCTAATATGGTTTGCTCGCTCATTCAAGTTTGCAAAGGTAATAGAAACCATGTTCCAAAATCGCCAGCGTGAGCATGGGCCTCTTAACCATTTAATTGCTCTTGGATACCAGAGAAGAGAAAAAAAAAGCTTTCATTCTTGAGGTTTGCATCCTACCTGGAACGTTTAAAGGTTCGCCTTTGGCAGCTACATGGCCCCATCAACATTGAAATTTGGGTGAAATTGTCCAGTCCTTGGCAAGGATTTAAGGTCTCGTCAGCAGGAATTAGCCGCATTGCCCAGAAACAGGGAAATGGGATGACTATGGGTTTGTTGAGCTTGAATATATTCGATGAGTAAAAACATAATTGGCACCCTATAACTTGGTCTTCCAAGCTTGAGTACTAAGATTGTAAGCGGCACTCCTAAATAGATGCCTACCATCTTCAAACCAAAGCTTGAAATTTGGGAACTGTTTACTGCTTTTGCCAATTCTGATATGGATGCTTTCCCCAACGCTTCAATGCATACATGCTACCGGCCGATGAGAACAGACTAAGGGCAGCAAATGCTATTATCACTGAATTTTCGATACGCCTGTAATAGCCATCCTACAGAAATAACTTAAGCCATCAATGAAATTTCTAATAAAAAAAGAAGAGGACTTGGTCAACCTTAAAAACTCATGTTTATGGTACCAAAAATCAACCTAACAACATGTAATCAAGTTTCCCGTAGATATTTGTTCTTATCCTCAAGCTTAATATACGCAGTATTTGAAGATCAGGACATCAAAAGTCTTGGATTTAAAGAAAACATACAAAGGAAATTTTGAAATCGTAAAATCTCCCTTTCATCTTCAATCTCAAATCCTATGAATTTCTTTACCAACTTCACTTACGGTAAGAAGGAAAACGAAAACCCTTGCCAATGTTTTCCTTGGGTTTCCCAAATTTTCATGAGACCCCCTTCATGGTAAACAAATCAGATTTAGACACAGGACAATTCTGAGCAATTTTTGACCATTTGGTTGTATTAGTTAGATTCAGACCCACCTATGATCCAGAACTAAGCTCTAGCGAAACATGCCTATTTATTTTATAGGATTCAGATTGCATGAGTGATGAAGTTAAGGCATTCTTCATTTAAAACAAACGCATTCTTTTCACCCAAATGAGCTGGCTATTGAATGATGGATGCACATATCAGCACCCACAAATGCCAATGCGAGCTCCGCCATTCTTAAAGAGTTCAATTGAAGGTAGAATTACATACCTGCAACAGAAAAAACAGAATCGCCGCATTTGCAGGGGCCAGAGATAGGCTAATCATCCCTCCACGTAACTTACTTGGCACATACCTAATAGAAAAATAACGAGAAAAAAAAAAGCATTGTGCAATCAAAACCTAATGTAGCCAAATTTAGGCTTTTGCAGATGCTATCATAATAATAAGTAAAGCACTTACATGGTCCTTAATCTTGCAAGTGAAGGTAAAATTAAACCTACACAGCCATGAAATAAGGAAAATAGCATCACTAAAACTCCAAGCTCCTGCATATTATAGATAAATAGATCAAGCAGTAGAACATGAAACTACTTATTCCTCGAAATTTCTCAAAAAGCCTAAAAGCATGAGTCATATGTAACCTACCTGATAATCAAAAGCCACAATTGACATCACAAGCCCTGATACAACGAAGCCATATAGTAAACAATCTTCAGTCCGAAAGGATGATGTTCTACCCATAAGCCATGGAAACAATGAGCTCCCAAGGATTCTGGATCCCAGCAAACATGGATATACCAACCCTAAATGTACTTCCCTCCCATCAGCCTAGATCAGAAATAATAAAATAACTCAAAAGTTCTAAAATTATGAATGCCTGTTAACTAAATCCAACAACAAAATCATTAACAAATTGACACTCCTAAAAAGTTATTAGTACAGTGATTTTGTTGATGCTTTAAAATAAGAACATCAAAATTGGAGAAGGCAAGAGAAATAGTTCTCTGTGGAATACAATCTGTTTTTGTCTTTATGTAACCAAAGTGGCATACAATTTCAAATATTATAAATCCTTTAACAAAATAACTTTAATACTTAAATGTTCCTATAATTACAATTCTCAAACATTTAAAACTTAAAGATATACCACTAATGTAGGAGCCCAAAGAATCCAAAAGAATGCAACAGAGAAGTGAATAGAAGCTTGTGCCCATGCCAATAACCATATCCTTTTATCTGCAAATTATGAAAGTTTATGAAGTCTGAGAAACTCTACAAGGGCTTATCCAAGAAATCCCTGAAAATGATTCGAAAGTATTTGATGGTTACTGGTAGGACGGGATTCAGCAAAATTATTATATTCAAATATAGCATATGATGTTAACGTGTGAACAGAGCAAAAATATTATATATTAAATGAAGTGGCAAAAATGGACTTGCCTGAAAATTATACCCAGTCAAACAAAACCTAAGACAAGATGTAAATATAAGGAACATACGGTGCTTACCACTAAAAATATATGCACTGAAAGAAGTTCTATAGTCCTCTAGTTCTATTCTTTGTGATACTTCTGTCCACCCTTTGATGATAAAAGTTGCACATATCAAAGCCAAGAAAACAGCAACAGTGGAAGGAGAAAACATATTCCTCTTAACATTATCACCAACCAGGCTATTCAGAAGCATCTGGTTTCCAATCAATGAGACAGACTCAAATACAGTCATTAGCCAAAATGTGTCACTTAACATATCTTGCCTGTGACCTTGCTGCAAGGGGAGAAAATTATATGAGGGACGACTAAGTTTAAATTAGTGCTTTCTTTCACACATGACACTCATGAGGTACTGCAGGAACTCAATTTTGAATCAACAAGACCAACCATTCAACCAAGTAAAAACAAATACTTAAACAATCGGGGCATAAGTTGAGATCAATAGAATAGAAAAATGAAAAAATAAAAAAACTTATTAAACAGAGTCAGTTGAATCAATTTAATTAAAAAGAAGTTGGTTCATGTTATTTCTATAATCTTTAACTTGAAGTAAAAAATGTACAATCAAAGTCCACTGATTTCATACTCGAGGGTCTTCAACTTCCTTGAACAAGTATGACAATAATGTAAATTTATGTCGCCTACTAAGATAACAACCTAAACAAATCCAAGTGGAAAACCATGTTAACAAACCTTTTCATGTTGAAGCACCATCCATGTTTCAAAACTGAATGAAAATATTGAGGTAGCAAGAGATAAACCAATACTGGCGACAAAGAGACTTGGATGCACAGAAATCCTCTTCCATATGGCAGTAACAAGGTGTATCATGCAAAACATCACACAACCTTCCTTTTGACCTCTACAAATAATAATAAAATCATTTATTAGAAGAACAGCATACACATCGATGTAGTTATAAATAAATTCTTAGTAATAAAATCAGAAAGGGAGCATTGGAGAAGATACTCTTCTCTTCAGTAAAAGCATAAGAATCAAAATTACAACCTAAAAGGTTACGGGAAAACAACGTTGAAAAATTTAGACTGCAGTCGTCTTTTCTTTATATTTCTTCCAAAACGTGCATTGTCCTATCCAAATGTTCATAACATTATGCGATATCACTATTTCCTTCACCACAAACATCTAAGCTCAACATATGAATATTGTGTAAATAAATTTCTCTGATACATTGCAATTACCAGAATAAATCTATGTTTAATTAGAAAAAGAATACAGCACCAGAAATCCATTTCCTGTGCATTTTGGCATATAGACGAAGATATCATACTGGCGTTTCAGAAATAGAACGTAATCGAGTAAGGAAGCGAACTACAATTACATCAAATCGGATAGAACGCCCAAAAAGGTACCAACGAAGAGAGAAGCTGCATATCCAACGCATAGAGACGACACTATCTCCTCTCTGTTTACTCCACGATACGTCAACTCAAATTCGCCATATACTGACCATAAGCCTTCCATTACTGTATTAGTAAAGAGGATAAATCAGGCACCGATTAGCAATATCCACGCGCCTCAACTGAAGGGAAATTTTACGTTTACTCAACTCGGTGAGCAAGAAATGTCAATGAAGGAAGGGAAAATAGTCTAGGAAAAGAGATAAATTAAAAAGAGAAGATCGCCGCCCGAGAGAGACTTGTTAGGTGATTTCCATTTCTAAATGACCAGATTCATGTAAATTTTCTTCACAAAAAGAGAGAGAGAGAGAGAAACAGTGTGCAGAGAGTGATGCACGGAACTTACGAGAGGCAAGAGAATAAAGAAGCAGGAACTTCCACTGGAAACTAGAAAAGGAGGATGAAAATCCATGATCGAACGGAGCAGGAGCTCTGGTGGAACCATTTTTGGAAGCATAAGGTAGAAGAAAGATCGAAAAAAAACAACAGAGGAAGATGAAGACGAACAAATATGGATTTAGTTCCCAAACTGAACTTTCGATGATCACCGCCATTTGTCTCACAGTTAACCTCTCAGAGAAGCCCTAGATCTGTAGCCAGCCATTTCTGAGAAAAAATAACCTGAGATCGTAAGGAGAGGAGGCACGGTGGGAACGACGAGCATTGCTCATTCTTCTATTCCACCGCTTAGAAATGGAACGGAGGGAAAAAGGAGTAAACATATATATACTCTCGTATATATATAATATTACAAGTAGATTTATAAGAAAAAAGAAAAAAAGAGATTTATATTTTATTTTATAAATATTGTATACTCCGCTTGGCAATCATTTTATTTATACAAATTCAATTTCTAAAATTATTTCCATAGTAGATTTTTTCAGCAAAAATAAATAAATAAATATGTAATGCTTATTTTTGGAGGAAAGTCTCACACCTTTTTTTTGGAAAGCACCACCCTACACCATGAGTGCTTATTTAGAGTGGACAATATCATACTATTGTGGAGAGTCTTATTGATCTAACATGGTATCAGAGTCATACCATAAACTTAGTCATGTCAATAGAATTCTCAAGAACAAATGACTCCAAAAAAAGGAGTCGAGCCTCGATCAAATATGATCATAGGTGCTCAAAATGGTCGTGGATGTTCAAAATGGACAATATCACATGTGGACCAAATAATCAAATTTATTTTCACATATCAATCCAAGCTTATGTTTTGAATCTACAACTTCATACCCTTGGAAAAATAACTTCAAATTGCTATTTACAAGAACGCTAGGATTGTCATGGAAAAAATTAAATTATGTTATAGGTTCTCTAAAATGCAAACCATATGAAATGGGGTAAATGGCCAAGCCAGAACCAGACAAAGCCAAAGCATAGGACGACTAACAAACTGAGTTATGACACCACAGGGCTTCCTCATCACCGAGTTTTCATCCCCTTGCAGTTGAAACAAGGCTTTACTTGTTCAGATTTCCTGCAGCTGCAAACCAAAAGCAATCCACATTTCAACGTCATAGGAAGCCGAGTTTGAAGCAGCAAATCATTAAGAAGCCCAGAGCTCGCAGTAGAGCCAAGTACTTACAGGAGGAGCTTTGGACGTCCAGCCAGGAATGTTTTCAGAAACAAGGTTGATATACCTCTCCATAGCCACCTCAGGGGTCATGTTCCCCAGCTGCTTCCAAGCGTTCCTTGAATCCAATTTAACAAAGCGAACAAAAGCCTTAGAACTCAAGATTAACAAATAGAAACCATTCATTAAATCAGTACTACTGTATCCAAAATGGAAGCTCATATGTTATATGAACTCAATATTTTCAATTTATTCTTAAAGCAGTTAAGTTTTGATCTTCTGTTCATGAATTGCCGGCTTTGAAACAAACAACTCAACAACAGTGAAGTCAATAATTCATCCAAATTCCCGACCATTCTTACTATCATCGGTATATGCAAACGAAAACTGTTGGGTCTTTGATTATAACATGAAATGTCAAATTCTTTGAACATGAGAATTATTTTGAAGGATGTGTTTTCTACTACTGGCTACTTCTCCATGATGCAACTTTTAGAGAGAATAGAATCCTGTAGTTGCAATGTGCATTGTAATATATACGACCTTTTAGTCTACAGTTTCAAGAACATTTGATACGTTCTTGACAGGGAAAAATTCCCACAAGATAGTAACGATAATGGAATTGCAGGAAGATCATGACAGTCGAATGAACAATAAGAAACACAAAATTGAAGAAAATAAGAGAAGTTTACCATACCATTTGGATCGAGCTGAGATCTTCAAAGCCAATGGCGGTGGTTCTCTACAACAGCCCTCCATAGCAATCTTGTGAAGTCCGCTCAGCCGCATCTTCAATTCATCGCCAAAATTAGGATCCTCAGTATCATGAATCTTCACAAACTTCACTACAGCTTCAAATTCCTTCTCCAATTCTGTTCTATCAATTCCCACCCAATCGTCATCCTCGACGGAAATCACTTCCGCCGATCCTTCCTTGTTTACTCCACCGGATTTCTTGCTCCGATCACTCTCAAACTCCTCGACTTCAACGCCGTCGCGAACGTTCTCCTCATCCCGAAAGGTTCTTTCTTCACCACTGGCCCTATCAGCACTTTCATCGATCACCTTCTCCGCAACCTCTCCGCCACCATCGGAATCACTCTCTTCTCCTTCCACAACCCTCACAGAGTCAGTCGCCGCATCATCGCATTTACTCCCAGCTTCACCTCTCGATTCAAAGATTTCGGTGGAATTCCCCTGTTTCGATTCACATTTACTTATCTCATCGCCACCGACAAAATCCTCAACAACGACGCTAGGTTTATCACTTTTCAGATTATGGATTCGCGATCCAAACCCGAAGTCAAATCCAAACGGAGACAATTCTTCACCGGCTGAATCCCTGGAAAGAAACTTACTGACAATAAAGGAAATAAGAAGAGGAAGACTAATGGTTAGCACAAGTTCAAGAAAAAGCTCCATAGCTCAACACAAAGAGATGGAGGAATCCGGTCGACGAACGGCGGAATCAGCAGCGATCGTGGGAAAGAGATTAGACAGATAGGAAGTAATGAAGATCGAGATAAGAGATAGGAGAAAAGGAAGAGAATTTTGGAGGGACAGAGCAAAGTATATTCGAGTCCGCACCAGCATCGGGCCCATGATGCTATCGATCGTTTCAAAAGCAGGGCGTTGTAATTGAGCCCTTTCACCAACCGGGAGCGACGATCAGGCCGCTGCTGTTTACTGACGCCACTTTGTAATCATTGCCGAAACCACGAGCTCACGATCGTGTATGAATTTTAAATTTCGGCGCTACAAAATAAATAATTCATTTCGAATTTGATAACAAAATAAAAAATGTTTAAATTTTTAATAGAATATATATAAATTTAAGGTTAAAATTATTAGAATATTAAATTTATGGATTAAATAGATGCAAATTACGTTTTAAAATTAAATTTGTAATTTAATTGGGTGACGTTTATCCGGGTGATTTGATCAATATGCACGTGACAGCTACAGCTATAAGATGAACGCACCACATTATATTTGCGCCTTCCGTGTTTCGACCCCTTCCAAGCGAAGACGCTATCTTCCAAGAATTAGGGCTACTCGTGAAAATGGGAGGGGGGAACGGGCAGAAAGCGAAGATGGCTCGCGAGAAGAACATGGAGAAGCTGAAAGCTTCTAAGGGCGAGTTTTCTCTATAACTTTTCGCCTTTATTTCTTTTTCGGATTACTTTTACTGGTTTCTGAGTGAATTTCTTGAACTCTGTATAGTTATTTTGTTCTTGATATTTATTAAGCGGCGGCTCTGTTAGGGTGTGAAATCACTTAAATTGATTATCGTGCGAGAGAGAGAGCTATTGAGTTGATTTTATTAATCGGTTATTCGGGTTAAATTTGAAGATTTTGTTTGGTCTGTTGTTATCAGGAAGTCAGCTCGAATCGAACAAGAAAGCAATGTCTATTCAGGTATGTTTTGACAATGTTTGATGCTAATTTGTATGAAGATAGCTGAATTAGTTCTTATATTGATGCTAATTTATATGCCATGTCGTCTTTTGTTTGTGTTTATAGGAATTGTTTCTTTTTTCTTCCGCTTGTACATTAGTTTCTTGCTTATTTTGTACAGTTCGATGTTTCAGAATTGTTTTTTTTCTTTTTCTTTTGAGCCACATTTACACATTCAATAGAAGAGTTTCTTCGATTCGATGGTCAGGGTACCTTGTATGTGAATGGAAGGATGGCGTCCAATTATTAAGTATCTTAAAAAATCAGGGTACCTTGTATGTGAATGGAAGGATGGTCAGGGTACTTATCATTAGTGTTGTAGACTATGAATTTTGTATCTGTAAAGCCTGCGATTTTCTGAGCCCTATGTTATTCTTGCACGTAGAGAATTCAAAAGAATGTTATAGGCAGTGGGTGCTATTGTTTTATGACATTTACTCTTGATTTGTTCTTTATTAAGAACATTTACTCTGATTTGTTTCTTTGGTAAGAACATTTACTCTGATTTGTTTCTTTGGTAAGAACATTTCCTATGAAACTGATTGCAGTGCAAGGTATGCATGCAAACCTTTATCTGCACCACATCAGAGGTCAAATGCAGGGAACATGCGGAGGCAAAGCACCCAAAAGCTGATGTCTATACTTGTTTCCCACATCTTAAAAAATGAAATAATAAACAAGAAAGAACAGTGTGGAGGAGGCACGTTCCAGTAGCAACCTCCTTGCCCATGTTTACCTGTGATTCTGGACTGTGTTTGCGTGCCAATTTAGTATGTAATTTGTTTATGGTCTTGCTCATGTATCAGAAAATCGGCTTTGGATTAATATATTAATGGTATGTTTTCCATGGTCTTATTGAACTGGCGTATTCTACTAACTGATTCTTAGATGGTTTTCTTTCGATTCTCCATCGAATTTACGTGTTGGATATGATATGTATCGATTTTAATGAAACTTCAATTATTCAAACTTACAACGTGACCTTAAATTAATGATATTGAAGGAACAGATAATGAAGAATCAGGCAATAGTACAAGCACACATGCCTTGAGAATTTGCACGCAATATATAGTTTCTCCGAAACAAGGATAAGCTCGTAGCACGCTCGACGAAATAATATATGTCCTATTTTAGCTTTGGTTTCTTAAACTACAATACAGGGAGCCATATTTCTTTGGTAAAACTAATACTTAAACATAAATCCATAGCCCATATCACACTTTAGTTTATGCTGATGCTCCGCTTAATCTAATTACTACTGTGTTCGCATCCTGCTACTCTCAGCAGCCCTCACTTGGGAGAAATATGGATGTGCCTGCAACGGAAAAACAGGCCAGCAAACTATTAACATCAACAAAAATACTACGGTAGTTAATCAAATATCAAGCCTTAAGTCTACAAGCCGGGTGAACGATTTATGTAATGAAAATTAAAACAATGGAATTAGATTAGAAATCAATGAAACTATCTCGAAATCAAAATCAGCAAAATACATCTCTACTGTTGTTTGGGATGAAATATAAGTATACAATATTAGTAGTCCTCAAATCCATGGAGTTACTACGGCTGTATCAAAAGGGCAAAAGAATGCAAATACATGTATATATCATCCTTGATTGAATCTAGAAAAGGATCCACATACGAATATGTATATTATAACCTGGCTGTTTTGGAAAATCAAATGGTTTAGGAGGAAAAGAAACATAGGTTCCAAGCAGGTTTTGATTAGGACTTATGAGAGGGGAATATGATCAAGAGAGCAAATACCATGGCTTCTCTAGCCGTAAGCCTGTCCTGGTGATCATATCGAAGAAGCTTATCAAGAAAATCAATAGCCTGCATTCAAGAAGTGAACATTCCAAGTTAGAAGAATGTTGAATATTTTGAGGAACATTTCTTTATAGTTCTGTTGAGAATTTTTCGAGTATGTTCCGTTCTTTTCAGCTTAAGGATTTCTCTTACTCTTCTCTTGAAAATATTCATTCAGTTTAATATAAAAAAAAGAAAAGATTCTATGTCAGTGAAATAACATAACAATTAACTGATGATAGGTTATAACATTGCCTTCTAATTAATAAACATGAGATAGATTACCTCTGGAGAAACAAGATGTTGATTGTCTGCATTGATAAATTTAGACCACAGCTTCCTGCTATGCCTGCAGAAGTACATGTGAATAGAATTTCAATAATATAAATCTCCATTACTATTTATAAAATAGGCATGGGTGTCCAAGGAAATAAATAAATGCATGGCTTGACCGATCTCGTAACTGAACTCTTTTTTTTTTTTCCTGAAAAGGCACAACTAAACAATATTTGACCCTAGAACTCTGTAGAATATTAACATCCTGGGTAGGTAGGCAGGTAGGCTTAAAATTTATAAGCATCTGTATTAAAACTTCCTTGAACTTTTGAATGCCCAAAAGTTTAATCTCTCATTCAATACAACATATTCTACAAGAAAATTGATCATATCTTCAATTAACGGCTTCTCTGTACCAATAGTTAGAAGCCTTTGTTTTTTTAGAATTCACAGAACTGATTTCATATACGCAAGATCTTATTAAATGTTATACACACCTCCCAACAAGTGCATCAAGTTGAGGATCGAGCTCTAGATTATACTTGTTCAAATATGCATTCAATTCATCTGTCCCAAGAACCTGAAATTGCATCCAGATCCAATAGTTATTTTCTTTATTCAGAATCTACTGACTATTAAAGAGCAACAAGAGAAAATAAGTGACATTTTCACCAACTTTAAATACATTACCTTTGCAATTTTTACAAGCTGGTCGTGATTGTCATGACCATAAAAGAAAGGTTCCTTGCGAAAAATCTACAAGAGAACAAACATGGAAACACTAGCTCAAGTATAAATTAAGGGATGCATAGATTCATGGTTTGCCAAGTTCAAAATCTTTAGAAAAAGAAAATTGCTCACCATTCCAGCAAACATGCAACCAAGGCTCCACATGTCCAAAGAATAATCATAATCTTGCAAATCAACCAGCAATTCAGGACCTTTAAAGTATCTGAGAAAATAGATATATATTTCACCAATTGACAAAAAAATTATACTTACATGGATGCAGAAAAACAAAAGAGGCACTCTTCGTAAACTTCAAATAAAATGGCAACATATCTCACCTTTTTCACAATAAAAGAAAAGAAAAAGAAAAACATGCTTTCTTTAGAAAAAAACGAAGAATACACAAGGGTGTTAAAAAAACAGCCTAACAGAATAAAACATCCCAACGAAACAAGCTATACAAAAAAGGGGTCCAATTGAAAAGGACCAAGCCTAGAGGATAATTACAAACAGCTTTACTCACAGATGCCCAAAGGCCAACGGGAAGTGTTAAAATAAACCTATGATGAAAACAGGTGTTTTTCAGCATTTAACTAAACCTATGATAGAAAAATTCCAATAGTGTTTTCAGGCATTAGCATAAATGAATAAGCTACAGAACAACCAAAATCCCAAAGAATCTAATATCTGGGGTAAAAAACAACTTAATGATTCAAAAACCTAATCACACAAGGTACAAGCATTTGGATTTGGTCAAGTTATAAAGTTCAAGTTCGTTTAAGTTGATTCATGGTTTCTAAAATTGGTTTGAATTGAAGCAAACCGAATTTGTGTAAGAAAAAAATTATTAGTTCAGTTTACAATGACGTCAGTTAAATAAGCAAATTATTCCTGGGACACACTCTTTTTCAAATATTTTCTTTTTAACACCTTGTCTAACAATGTTTAATGCAAATGACTAAATTCATTGGATGTTACCTTGAGGCCACACGAACATTATATTCCTTGCCAGGATGATAAAATTCAGCAAGGCCCCAGTCAATCAAGCGAAGTTTTCGCAACTCATGATCTATCATAACATTATGAGGTTTGACATCCCTGTGCATAATCCCTTGAGAATGGCAATAATCCAATGCCTGTATTTAAGACATGGATGCATCATATTACTGAGAAGAGCCATACAAAAGATAATTGAGGTGAAGACCTAATATTTCAGAATCCCAACACTGTTCTTATGGTTAGCAAGATCGACATACTTGAACCAAAAGGAGAGTAGCAACAAAATAATGGTTTATACTAACACCCCCACAGTAACAAGGTAAAGATGAACAGCTCTTGGCCAATCAGCTTCATTAAATCATAACCCTACTGAAAAAGCAGTAGCCTCATAGAAGTGGTTCAATTTCCTTAACATAATAATATCCTTACCCATGCCCCAACTAGTTCCTGAACCAAAAAAGACAATTCAAACTTCTAAAACATACATAAGTCTTCATTTGTAGTGATCGCACCATTAGAGGTTGAAAGAGAGAACGGAGAGCTGACATACAAATATACCCTTGTATGCTTACCTTCAAAAGTTCATATATGTAGTAGCGTACATCGTAATCAGTCAGTGTCGGATAAAGTACTTTGAAATCTGTGCTGTTCACATGCTCAAAAATCAAGCTCGGTGTTTTTGAATGCTGATCTCTTACAATATCAAAAAGCTTGACAATGTTTGGACCCCCACAGAGATTCTGAAGTATTTTTATCTCTCTCTTTATCTGCAAAAGATCAATTGAATCTTGAAATCTGTATCTGAGATCTGACATGATCTCAATAAACATTCAGATCTCAAAGAAGAACTAGTAGCATCACAATAAAGCAATGTTCCACGGCATTGTTGGACACATTTTAGTTAACAGACAGAGGCCAGAGTAACATTATCTTTCCCATTATAACAGCTATTGGAAAATTTACTAAGAGCGATCTTATAAGAGATAAATTGTAATTACATAGGCCATCACGGCATTACCCATCTAAACTGATAGAGACAACTGAGACATACCTTCTTCTTCTTAACCGGTTTAAGTATCTTGATTATGCACCGCTCGTTGTTGTTAACATTTATTCCCTCGAATACCTCACTATATTTTCCTCTTCCCACTTTCCGGACAACCTCATAATCATCTTGATCACTGGGTTAAGAGGGAAAAGAATGAAAACCAGTAAAAAAATCAGGAAAACAAGCTCAAATATTGAACCAAAAGTTCAAAATAATGGTACAGCAACAAATTTCAATAATTAACAACGAATGCTCCAGATTCATCCTTCTTTTGATTGGAAAAGAAGTTGGTAAAGCAAACTTTTCCAAATTCAGATCCAGTTTTACCAAGTAAAGTCTCAATAAGCTACGCACAATCAACTGGCCCAATAATTGTACGAACCAATTGACTAGCAATTATGTTATAGATCATGCAGTGCTGATTTGCATACTCAGAAGGGGATAGTATCCCAACAATCAAGAGACCTGAAATCAAGTCGCCCCCCCCCCCCCCCCCCCCCC